ATCCGATCATATGGCTGTAGGATGTGATTGTTTGTAGTGGAATCATCGTGTGAGCAATGTTAGAGTTAGAGGAATAGTATGGGGGAAGTCAGTTGATGAGGTTGTGAATCTTGAGTGACTAAGGCGGCTTGGACATGTGTTGCGCATCTTAGGACATCACCTACATGGACCTGCAATTCTAGGAGAAGTTGGATCAGGTTGGAAGATGGCTTGAGTTGGCCAGGCCAAGACGTGTCACCACTATGTGAAGTCTGTTAATCTGAGCTGTGCAGGTAAATGTAGAACTCCTGGTTGGGGTTCACGAGGTAGAAAAGGTCAATTGTTGAAGAATCGATAAAATGACTGACAATCGGTTACAGTTGCTCAGATCAATTCACTGTTACACCTATGGACATTTTCATTAACGCTGTTTAAACTATTTTTCTTCCATACACGTTTGACTCCACTGAAATGGTAAGGATAGCCTTAGAGACGTGACACGACAGACAGTGTTCCTTCATTCCCCAGTTTTTCATTCACAGGAGGTTATGCCACTGTGTAACTGAAAACGAATAGTAGTGACCCAGGTAGAAAACACCGTAATGAAATAAATTTCTCTGACTATAGACCAATCTTCCTTGCCTTTTCTTTTTCGAAGATCATGGGAATAATACGAAATGATTCTTTGCGTTTGAACCGACTCTGGATTGACTTACATCAGCAGAAAAACTAATCCATGAGCATACATGAGCAACTGATGAGTTGTTTTCAGGACTGCCTGAATAATTGACTGCAGGCGGTTAGAACCTCACCACTGATTCGGCGAAGGCCTAATGGTTTCATTCTTGGCCTATGGCTATTTTCTTTTTCACACAAAAATCATCATCTTTCTCAGATACTGATGTGTATATGATCTCAAGATTTAGATAAAAGTCTAAAGGCTGACGCTTTTCTGTGTCTTTCAGGGCAACCTAAACAGAAACCAAAATTGGATGCCTATGAAGTGGTTGGTACACTCCACCTATTTACTCTCTACAATTAATCTGGGAGTACTTGCAGCAGACCAGTCCTGAAGCATCATCTTACATTTGACAGGCATGTCAAATATATTTCGATTTCCGCTCAGTGCTTTCACAAGACCCTGCATTGCGCTAGCGTCTTCACCTAGCAGAACATTATCGTCAGCATACTCGAAGTCAACCAGATGGCCACTAGGGCGAAGGTCTATCCTTGTAAAAGTCAGGCCAACTTAATTTCATGTACATCAGTGCGTAAATAATGAAATCAACCAGGAACTATGAGAGTAGGCATCCCTGTAGAACACTACTAGTCGACGTCAATTCAGATGACAACTCTCCATAAGCCCTTACGCGACTGCGTGTGTTCCAGTAGACAACTTTGATGAGCGTTAAATACTTTGTCGGTACTCCCTTCTCAGTTAGACACTGAGACCTATCGGTCAACGGATTCGAACATCGCCCTCAGGTCAAGAAATATGGGAAGTATTGGTCACTGGCCAGTAAGTATGCCCGTGTTTCAGAACTTGTCGAAGAGTGAAAATATGACTGATGCACCCTCGTCCGGCTCTGTCTGAGACCTGCCTAGTCCTCTCTAGTTTGTTGTTCTCTGGTTACAGTCGGCGTCGGATAACTACGCACCCAAGGGTCTTGGGCACGATATTAGTTAAACTGATTCCCTATGGTTGTTACAGGAAGTCTTATCTCCCTTGTTATACACTGGAATTGTCAATAAAGTAAACTATTCTGACGAGACTAACTGGTTTCCACACAATACCTAGTATATCCGTTACTCAAATCAGATGTAGTCTGCCGCGGTCCTTAAAAACTTCGAGTGGTAAAGCGTTAGGTCTAGCTAATTTCTATTGTTTCAGGTTGAGTACAGCTTTCTCAATTCCAAAGAGAGTTAGTTGACCGATATCTATGTTCCATTCGGGTTTAGACAATGTTAGGCGACTAAAGGGTTGCTGTGGGTCAGTTGAACTGAACTTCAAAGTGTTCCGCCCAACGTTCTACCGTCTTTTTCGGGACGTTATCAGCGTCCCATCCTTTTGAGTTATGGTTTAATACCGTCGTTTTATTCTTGCTTGGTGCTGCCCAACACTGATGACCACTATTTCTGTCGCTCTCGCCACCCACCACTGCTAACGAAGATTCTTATTCAGTCTGTGTTTAAGTTGCTTTCTATCTTCATCGTGATCCGAGCCAGTTGGAATCAGTCTACTAGCATCAATCAGTTCAGTTGACGTTGCTCAAATCCAATAGCGTTTGCTAACCTTCGGTTGAAGGTTACTAACTGTCTTTACCGCTGTTTCTACCGCAAACTTAATGTCATGCGAGGTTTCCGCAGGATCAGCACAGCTGTCACGTTAAGATAAGTGCTTACCTATCTTCTCTCTGAATGCGTACTTGACGTCCTCATCTTCCAATTGAACATGCAAAGGCTTCACTACCACGTGGTTTCTGCTACCAGTAAGGCACCTATATACACGAGACCATATTACCGCTTGATCAGAGAGTTCAAACTGGTATTCCAGAAAGACCGCCAATCCTCTACCGATCCTCTCCAACAATGGTTTATGGCAATATGATCTATACGTGTCCATCGTTGGTTTGATGTCGGTTGATGTCATGTGAAACAGTGTCTCTCCTTATGCTTGGAATGGGTGCTCGTCAGAAACAAGTGACTACCAGAATGAAGTTGCAAAAGGCAACGATCATTGTCAGTTTGCTGGCATGGGAATCCGTAAAAACCTCTGAGATACCTTTCCGACCGCTTCAGCTTCCCTACCTGAGCGCAATTATGACTATATCTGAATGTTTTGGTTTCTGTAGAAAAATTGAAGGCTTCTCATAAAATTCACCCTTTGTACCACCCGAATTTCAGTCGGTGGATGCATAGGCGAAGATTATGAATAGGCATCGGGTAGTCTGACTATCTTTCCTACTTTTTTCAGATACACTCATTTGAGCGACACATAGATGGCTGTTGATTGACTTCCACTCGAGAAGCACACTTTCTGCCCTAAAGTGCGATGTCTACACAACTGAGTCCACGAGAGATAGCCACTGGGTCCCCGAACACTCGTAAGTTGAATTTTGAAGATTCCCCGCACTGGCCAGGTGAAGTCAACTTAATAACCACACTTGGGTCCTGTATACGTGTCTGAGAGACGCAGCACACATCCATTAGTTGAGATTTTGGAGTTCTGAGAAGCGGTGCCTGCTATCCAGTTTGACACAGAGTTCGAGCCTTGAAAGCTCTAACATGAAATTAGTGATAATAAATTACACTTTTGAGCATTCAGTCATCTGGAATAAAAGGCAACTAGTCGATTTATATTACTACTTTTATTGTGAATGATCAGTTTTGTTGCTGTCGATAGAAAAGTAAAGATGTTAGTGACACACTATCCAAATACAGAACCGTTCCCGCTGATTATTGATATACATTGTTCGTAAAACTGCCCTAACGCATATCGTAATGTTTCCCCAAGCACTCCTAGGTTTCATTACTTCCTTCTGGTGTGCATTTTAGAGTTTTCTTAAGTTTGGACTGATTCACATATAAACCATTTGAAGATAACTCCACTTTACATTTACTTATATCTTCATGTTTCTAAAGAAAGGATTTCGCTTCTTGTTTATTCTGAGATTAACCACCATAAATTTTCCTTTCTCCCTACCACATTATACTGTCGGGATCACTACCCTCGATTTTGGTCCTCTTCATGTTGGTTTTATACTGGGAAACAGTTTTCCTGCTTAAAGTTATCTAATATATTGAAATGATAAGTATCCACCTATGGTATTAGCATATCAAAAAGTTGTGCCTGGCTTGCAATTATTATGCTTTTGAGCTTCATATTCCTTTTCATACACAGTGTTCTTCCCGTTATCAAACTCTTTTTACTGTTTTACTTGTTCTTACAACTTGCAGGTTACCGTGTCATAACCTAAAATGTACTTGTTGATACTCGTAATTCCCCGTGGTTATACTATATCATACTGATCGACCTCTGTTGGCATGTGGGCCCCTATACGAGTGCCTTGATACTGCCTGACTGTTCATTATGTTGTAAATTAATTAGTAGTGACTAGCAGTGCAGTCCGAGATACACTTTTCGTCCTGTTTATGTCTCGTCAGGTGGATGTACCTGCACCCTAGTGATTACTGGTGTTCCTACTAAGACTCAAACTCCACACATATTGTTCCAAACGCTGAAGCTTTATCCAATAGACCACTGAGGCACCACCAATAAATCACGTATCGAGTTTTGTTGTTAAGCAGCACAGTGATTGCTTCGCTGTCAACGATGATCACGAAATTCGAAAATTCTTGCCTGTTCCTGTTATGGATTACCACTTTAAAACTTCGCATATAGTTTTCTGCAAATAATCATTTTGCATAAATGCAACATATAAATGTCAGTAATTTTGGCTAAGGAAATTGCAGGATTCTCACTGTTTAGTGGATATGTATTACTTTGAACCTTACTAGCCGTAAGCCGTGACAGTTACCAGTTGCTAAAGGGTAGATTAATCAATGTATGTTAAGTTTTGTGTTGTAAAGTAGACATTCATGATGGTTTATGTAAGTGTCAGCCCTAGTATTGCTGAAATTAACGAGTTATTGTTAAACGATTGAAAAGCTGCAGAAAATTCATCGTTCCTTAGTATATGTTAAGTGCCTGCAAAAGTATAATTTTAGATAAGCAGTAATCAGTTATGTGTTTATTTGGATATTATTATCGGTGCAGGGTCGCCTTATTCTACAGTGAGATACTGCCGCTTGTGTAATCACTTGTATGCTGAGCCGTAAGCGATAAATTTGTCTCCATTTATGAAATATACTATCGTTTCATAATAGATTGGACCATTTCACATAGTCGCCTGTAAAACCAAACTGCAATACATTATGATACATTTACTATTGACCATCTGTTTTATACTTTCATCTCTTAAAAGTAAGATTTTGATTCCTTCTCATTTTTTTTCTTTTAGGGTGTACGAAGATGGTTGCTCTGTAAATCGAATTTGTGTAATATTCCCGGCTCATTGATACAATTATCTAATAGCCGAATATCTACCTCATCATGGCATCAGCTGGTACCAGAAAACAAAGCACTTTATTCTGGCAAATGGGAATCTTCTTTATCGGGGAAAAGTTTCCCAGGTTTGATTTAAAATAAAATTATTTTTAATTAAAAGTGTCAAGCTGTGCTCAAATTACGCTCATTTATTGCTTACAGTGTTATTTTGAAGTCAGGGATGATTTTCCTTTCATATTAAATTGTTTATTTTAATTTTAATGATGCCAATATTTTACAGATATCTTACATTAATAATAGTCTTTTATCATTTCCCTCAAGATTATTCCTTTAAAGGATCTTAGCAACCGTATTCTAGTCATGAAACTTTGTTTTTATTGTAATTCTCTTTTGTGACATAATCGATGTTGATTATTCGAGTTTTGATTTCATGCTTAATGACATATATTGTGTTTATTTAATGGTTTAGACGCTGTGACTCACTTCACCTAACTTGACTACTATTACTGAGTACATAAACAAATACAAAATGGTTGGGTTTATTAATCATTAATGACATTCTTAGTAAGTTAGATGAAATAATAGAATCAGCTTCTTGCTTGGTTTAAACTACTCAGTTTATCGATGAGCATTATCATACCTGTCTGCTACCAAGATGAAACGAAAATTATATTAGCTTTGAATGATTGCATCAAAACAAATCAAATTTTGGTGATTTTCTATCCATAATTTTTCCCCCTCAAACTTCGTTTGTTTATCTCTACTATTAGCTATCTGAGTTGGTTGTTGTCACACACTAATTGACCTTCTCAATGCACAGACAACCAACCAATTGGCATTTGTGATTGTATTGAATTCCCCACTAAATTAAATCGCTAAGATGATACACTGAGATTAGGAAGTTATATATTGAGTATTGTAAGCCTTCATTTAACGGTCACTTCAATAAAATACATTTCCTGAGTTACAGGATTTAGAAATTCTCCTGTTTGTTCCCAACGGTTTTACACCCTATTTATCGTTCTCTCTCGTACAACCTCTTGGATATAGGTTGCACGGATTGCTGTACTTACTTGAAGTATTCCCAAACTTTTGAATGAAAATCTTTCACTACACTTTAGGCAAGCGAGAAATAATAATTTCGTTGAGTTAGCACCTTGTGAGAATATACTTAAGTTTCCCAGTTGACGAAGCTTACGGCTAATACTTGTAGTCTCCGTATGATTACACTAAGATACCAACTTGGCATTCATGGTCAAATTACATGAAGCACTGTCAGTACTGAAAACTAAATTATGTTGTAGGTCGGTAGTTCTCCGTGAATGATTTGTGAGCACATTTTATTCGCAAAGGTGATCAGTTTCGAATCATATTGAATTGTAGGATTGAGCTATGGTTGTTCACCTTTGTTGGCAGTTACTGATGGACCCTGCCAACGGATAGAACATTTATGAAATGGAATCTTAGTCCTCTGGGGGACTTTTATAATCGAATAACGTGAAATAGAGAATTGTGCATTTCTTGCGTCATCCACTCATGGTATATTGTTTATCTTTTTCAGTTTTCAACCCGGCTACAGGTGAACGTCTGCGTTCAGTTCCAGCTTGTTCTAAAGAAGAGTGTGAAGTTTGTATAAATACAACTTCAGTCAGTCAGAAGGAATGGGCTTCGAAATCACCAGATGAACGATCCTCGATTATCCGTAAATGGGCTGATACTATTCGGGAAAATGTCGACTCATTAACAGCTCTCATTACAGCAGAAAACGTAAGATATTTTCTTATCAATATATACATGTTTCTAGAACCATCGTGAGCTATACTCTGTATTTATTTGGTGACATTAAGATTTCTTGCAACTTAGTTGATTGCTTGATTAAAGTTCAGTAGTGAGTTAGAACTTGATTAGGTTTACGATTTTCCCAGCTATGAGGTCCTTATTCTACCTAAGGTTAAATACTAACAACAGCGCACTGTAATGTTTACTGGGTGGGGGAGGGTAAACGGGGTAGAGAAAGTTAAAAGCTGTTAGAAGTTAATTTTTCCAGGGTAATTGGTTAGTTGTCATTGCACATTTATTATAAATATATTGATAATTAATGGTAATCTCTTACTTATGTTTCAAAAATGTATGTGCGGGAAAACTTACACGGCATTATCAAATCGACACTTGGACTTCACATCATCTCACCCTATAACTGTCAAGGTAGGCTTAATGAGATGTTTAAGTAGTCGGGATAGTAGTTTGGCTAGTAATTGAGAAAACCTAAATAAAGAAATAAAACACATCGAAGAGATACTACTTCTTAATAACTACCCTCCAGAATTTATTAAAAAGTTTATAAGGACTTATAAGAGAAGGAGTGGTAATGCTACTGGTGATTGCAACATACCTACAAGGGAACTCAAATTCTCTGTAGTGTTGGCGTGCAAAGAAGGCAGGTCAGAAATTTTACGTAGAATCCTTAAGAAAAAAAAGAGGAACCGTTGAACTATGGTGAACTGTAAAGGAAGTTTGAAAGTCGTATGAATACTTTGATATAAATATTAGAAATAAATTCTGCTCGAAACGTCATCCAATAAACTCTGCTGTGTCACTGTATGCTTTATAAAATAAGTAATCTGATGTGGAATAGTATATTATGGTAGATTGGTGTTTATTTACTGCTGGAAGCGTGCAGGGGGTTGACATTTATCGGTATTAATCAAGTCTAAGGTGGTAGCAATGGTCGAAGAAGTTGATTTTGTACATATAATCCCAGTTGCTTCATTCTTATGTCTCGAACTTCTGCAATACAACAATCGAGGAAACGTGCTATTTTCGATTAATTTCTTTTCATCCTGTGGATGACTTTTAAAACTGAATCAGTCGTGATGCTGTAATCAGTGTTAGCAAGGTGTTCTATGATCGTATTTCTGATGGATGCACTCTCATCTCTTGGTAGGGTAGTATTCTCCAAGCTATTTGCAAAGAACGCGCATCGAAGGACGCACATAGCTGGCTTGTCAGAAGCTAGTGACTCAATATACAGACATCGAAGGGGTCAGATGCGGAAACTTATCCATCGGATTATCATAACTCATTGGATGGTCGCTGAATATAGCCCTCAAGATTCATGGGAGGAAAGCTTTTTAGCGAGTTAGAAATTATTTTCAAGATATCAACGGCAAAGTCACCTTTAAAATCAAGGTTCGTGTGTAGTTTCCTCTCTGGAGCTGAAATGTGTATCTCTCTTTGTGATTTTATGTCGTACTTTTTTGTCCACAAATCATTCTAGATATTCAGTTTCCGCCACAGCTAGCATGCATTCAGTCTCGTCTATGTTGTTTGCAACAATTGAAAATGTAAAACAAGCAACAAGTGTGAAAAAAGCAGGATTTAATGAATACCCTTTTGGTGGTGCTGAGAAGAACCAGTTTAGCTGCGTAGTAAGTCCTTCTGATAGACTTCTCCAGTCTTCGTCTAACTACCTCTAACACGTCGTCACCTCTGAGTGGCAAGGTGACATAGGCTGTTTTCGTCTGCACTGTTGGGGCCGTTGTTCTGCTCCCTACCCATTTTGCATGCTTGTTGAAAAAGCTTTCTGGATACCCATTCCTCACCAGCACGCTTTTCAAAGTCCCTATTTCGTAGTCTAGTGTGCTGTCGGAACAAATTTTCTTGGCTGTGTTATACAGCGTTCTAACTACATTCACTTTGTATTGGATCGGAACAAAGCTCCTAAAATGAAGGTATTGTCCTGTCCAAGAAGGTTTCCTATAGATGGACCTTTTGATAGATCTATCATTTCTTTTCACTAATGAGACATCTAAGAAACTAATCATATTATTTTCCTCGTGCTCAATCGTAGAAATCAGGTTTGGGTGACATGAATTGAAGCTCTTCAGTAGTGCTCCTGCCTCCTCTTTACTATTGCATACAATGAATATATCATCCATGTAGCGCTGGTACACTTCCGTCTGACCGATGAGGCACTTCAAGCTACTACTTTCCAGACTGAATAGAAATGAATCAGCGAAAAGGGGACCCAGAGGGCTTCCCATTGCGACTCCATCGGTTTGGCGGAATAACTGTCCGTTGAACTGGAACTGGATGTTCTTGGTGCATAGATTTAGAAGCTTTCTCCACTCACTTGTTTGGATAGGGATATTACCAGCTTCTCGACAGATAAACCCAATGGTTTCATCAACTGGTACATTTGTCAAGAGAGATACAACATCAAATGAAACAAGATGCTTACCAGTGCTATTGAATCTGTGAGGTTTCGAACAAATTGGAAGGTATCAATTCGAATGTACCTGCGGAAGCAAATACATTGGTCGTACAGAGAGGCGTCTGTCCACCCGAATGGTTGAGCACATACCGAAATGGTGGAAGCATGCCGAAAAGAAGACCCTGAGGAGCTCGATAACGAAGCACCTAATGGACTATGGACATGATATTGATACCTATAAGTCCTTTAAAGTTATCAGTAGACAGCAAAATAAGAAGCTGCTGGGATATGTGGAAGCCTGTACGATTCGAGTTGTCAAACCAAACCTCTGCATTCAGAAGGAAATGGTAGTCAGCCTGAATCTGCCATGATAATAATTACAACATTGTCTAATCATATTTAGTCTTTCTTATTTTACTCTTCACTATTAATTATCACGCATCTTATATTTTTGTTTTCCTTCCCTGATTTGTTTCGTCTAATTAACCTTATTCCTATTGCCAATGTTATCATTATTATTCATCTCAATATACACCTTGTTTTCTTATTGTCTGCATAAGTACTATTATCTATCTTGTTTTCAATGACGTGATCGACGCTCAATCGATTCAGTTCTCATCCCTATGTCAACAATCTTGAATATCCATTTCTATCCTCTGGATTACCATTTAACCTGTAAAAACTATTCACTTCTATGTTGTTACACCTAAATCTGTCTCAGTCTACATTATACATGTATGTGTGTATGCTCTTTTCCATTGCTTCACGGTATATATAATCAAGTATGTAGAGTATCCAGCTGACTAGTACTACTGAAATTTATGAATTTATTAAATCCTGCTTTTTTCACATTTGTTGCTTGTTTTAAATTTGTATCGGGAAACAAATGTTTTCAATTGAAAATGTATAACAAAGTCTTACTTGGTTTTTTTGCAGGGAAAATCATCATCTGATGCACGTACCGAAGTTCTTTCAGGTATTTTGGCTCTGGAATGGTATGCTGAAGAAGCCAGACGAGTTTTTGGTCGCTACGTTCCATCACTACGTTCTCATTCAAAGAAACAATTGATTATTCACCAACCGGTTGGCGTTGTAGGTGTAATTACTCCGGTAATGAAATAATCTATTCCTCATTTGTGAATAACATATTATGTGCATATTTCCATCCTTTTAGTCTTAACTATCGTCATAGTCTATTAATGAGCTATGGCATTTTGAAATAGATTCCATTCATCATCTTTCAAATGCAGTGTTATTGTATAGAGTTTCTGGTTTCATGTTTGATCACATGTATAGACTAAGTTTTCATCATGTCTCGGATAAACATATTTCCTCGCACCGCATGTTATCGACATTCCCTACCCCGGAGGTGATATTCGACTTCATCGATTAAGGAAGATTATGTCTGTCTGTAGTGGACTTACAGGTTAGGCTTACTGCATTGCTGAGGATCATTGGTTTTTGTAGTGATATCCTGCCTTTAATTCAGTTTTCTTTGCGAGATGATTACTTGTATCGCTTGTTCTTATTGATTTCTTATCGTCTTATCTCTTTTCTTGTTGTTTTGACTATTTACAGATTCTATAGTGGGAGATGAGGCGTATATCTCGTGCTGTGTCCACTAAGGTATATCGTTCCTCTCACTTTTTCTTCAGTATTTCTGTTTAGTCACATAGTCGATTCATTTACTTGGGAAAAACGAAGTAAGCGTGAGTATAGAAGAAACACGGCTGTTTTTTATATCAGTTACTTGGCGGTGAATACTTTGATTCATAACATAACAAATCAGAATGCACTGAATAGCTATTTTGTTACAGTTAAAAGTTGGAAAATGTGAACCACTGGATCCACTGGATCCATTTAAGCATTTAAAGTCAAGTCAAGTAGTATCAGTAGTCCTCGCAGTCAGTGTGGTTTTGCTTAGTATATAAGCACATACGCGCTGATGAGTTGGATTATTGTCATTATTATGCAGTCAAGGCTAGGAGAACGTATCGCTAAATGCTTCGAGAATTAAGTATTTGCGAATACTTCGCTGGATACAGAAGGTAGACAGATATTTCGTGTTAGTGAACACCTTATGGAAACGAGTAATAAAACTTACCTCGAAATAACGCTTACATTATTATATAGGGAGTGTCAGCGGCATATTTTTTTAAGTTTATGGAAACCACACGTAAGTTGAAGTCCACTGTGTCAGTTCAAAAGCTAATATGTCTCTATCCCTTCCGTGGTAATTTTTATCCTATATTTTACCCGGATGGTGTTAAGACAGTATAAAGCAAGAAGAAATTAGTTTGCAGAATAAATAATAACTTGGTGTTTCATGCTATATAATTTAATATGATGTCCATTAAGTATTTTATAGCCATTGGGAAGATATGAGTTCCGTGGTTTTTGTTACATCACTAAGGTGTATCTGAAACCTCTAGGGAACTGATACTCATAGATCGAAATCTGAGTCGCTCAGTGGTGCAATCAAAGATTCTACCATTGAGATATTCGGGCGACGACTGATCTTCTGTTAGACTGGATCTGATACATTAATTGTTTCTTGGAGGATAGTCATTGTCATGTTTTTTGGTCCTGGTTTCATATCGTTATCAACTAGAGATATAGCGTATAACAAAAGTGGGACTTGTTTTTCATTTCTATTGTTAGCTATGTTTTACCCTGTTTCATTTAAATCACGAATTCCTTTTTTTTGCTTACTGAATGGTTTCAAGTCACTGAGTTGGTCAATTCTCTCATGTGCTACGTAATTTGTTACCTAGTTTAAGTTGTTTGTTACGAAGATAACTCTTGGTACTTTCGCTTCAATACATACCAGCAGGGAAGGCTGATAGGTTAATCGACAACTCATATTGTTTAATTTTTCAATACTGTATATCCCCTAATTTAAAATGCCTTGTCTGTTATCGTCCAAACTTTTTTAGTTAGCTTATCTCATCGTATTTTCCTTTCAATAACCTTCGTGTTGTTTTGGCTCCATACAGCTGACGAGTATCTGTGAAATGTGAAGTGATACCTTTTTAGCCTTACTGAATTTGAGTGTCTGACTTCGTTCTGTTTTCACACGTCATATAAAATGCCTTAACAAGTACAATTTTGTACAGTGTTATTCACATACATCACAATTTTCAGACAAGCTCACTCATCTTATTGCATGTATGAATTCATCACATAGACTAACTGTCCCAAGTATTTATCGTATATTGCTCATCCATAAATTATGTGGAACACAGGTGAACTGTAAATACATTAAGATTTTTAATTATTATTTCAAAGTAATAAACTTGAGTTGGTAATATTTTCGTGTACTTATACCTAGTGGAATTTCCCACTTTCTATGATTACTCGAAAAGCTGGGGCTGCTTTGGCTTCGGGATGCTCTGTAATTGTTAAGCCATCTGAAGATACTCCTCTGTCAGCTTTGGCTGTCTCTTACCTTGGTGTTGAGAAAGCAGGCATACCTCCGGGTGTTTTGAATGTAATTACTGCCGCGGCTGGTGAAGAAGGAGCTCAACAAGTTGGAGATACGCTGTGCACAAATCCTCATGTTCGCCTAGTTGGCTTCACTGGTTCTACAAAAGTGGGGATGGTAAGTTAATAATTTTTGATGAACATCATATTTATCCAGCACGCAAGTTTACAACATTCTGATTCACACTTCTGTTGTTTGTGAGTTGTACCATTCTCTTTATTTAATAATGAACCATATTTCCGTGTATAATTTATTATGGCTTTCTTTATGTTCATTCTGGTTAGCATTTCGATAATGTCCCTGATCTGATGGTATGAGCATTGCTACTAGTCTTAACTTATTTTTGGGTTTCCTGTTAGGTCTTATGAATAACAAATTGCGGGGAATGCCGAACGCTGTTTCCAACTATTATTATTGTGCCGAGTTGGTTTATTCAAACCATGAAACCTGAATTTAACTGTGGTATCTACAAATATGTTTCGCATAAATTTTGCTCCGGAAAAAGTGAATCGATCCTATAAAATCGAAAATGCTCCCCGTTGACTGATTGACTGGTATAATCAAAGAAATGCCTACAACATTCCCCCCCTCGAATATTTTCATCAGTACAAGAAAAACCAGACTGGCCGCACGAAATAAGCTTATTTTGGTTGATTACTTTTAAACTGCTGATAGTTTAAAATACGAATGGAGTAGTTAATTTAGAACATTCTCATGGAACAGAAGGGAAATGAAAATCTGTTATATTTGGTGAAAACAGACAAAGGGTGTAATATATTGTCACTTTTAGTGACTTTATAATAAAACAACCGTCTTGATGTGTAATCGCGGAAGTAAACATGGTTTTCCTTGGCGAAGTGTGATGCAGCTTTTTGTGTTATAAGTGCACGACGCAAAATTGCATGGTGTAAGGCACGTGGTTTCCTACCCCCTAAACCTCCCCCGAAGGTTTGCGATCTGGTAGGGCATCATTTAGTGTTAAGCGATAGATGAATAGGAATTGTTGTATGACATCCGCAGCCGGTCCTCCTCTTTTCGCTTTGTGTAATGCCCGCTTAAAGGTATCTACAAATCTTTCTTTCTGGCCATTGGATTGCGGATTGTATAGCGGCGGACGTGTGTGATGGATGGCACTCGCATGGCAGACTCGCACGGGGTGAATTATGACCACTTATCAGAAACAGTAGTGGTGTCGGGGAACCCATGGCATCAGAAAATATTTGCAGTCAGTAATTGCTCAATGTGATGATACAGGCGATATTGCGACGATCTTCAGTCACTTGGAATAAGCGTCAACAAAAGTTAGATAATAAGTTCCCACGAAACACATGGATTTTGACCCAAAGTTGGTCTGGTGACAGCCAACTGTTTAGTGGAAGATGTGCCGGATTCTTAACTCTCTTCTGATACGATGCTCAGCGACCGATGAATTCAGCTATATCAGAATCCGTGTTGGCTCAGTAAACATAATTTCTGGCTATAGCTTTTATAGCTTCTATTCGTGGATGATCAGTGTGAAACAACTTCAGAACTTTTCCACAATGAGGTTTGGGGAGTACTACGCCTTCTCAAAACATGAGGTAACTTACGACGATACAAAAGTGTTCTCTTCTCCGGAACAATTGTTTCTGGTCACCGGTAAACGATTTCCGTGACCATTTTGTCCGTACATAATGCATGAATTCCTGTGCAATTTCCTTGTGGGTTTTGTTTTCTATTTGAGTCGACGTGACAGCGTACAGACTACACAATCCAGTAAACGAACTGCATAATCGTTTGTGGATACTAATGCGATCACTATGTCTTTGTACGGCATAGGATACTCACCCATAAGCCTTGAGAGTGCGCCTGTATGTCAGAAGGCTTTCTGTTCGGTGATATTTAATATCGAAATCACAACCCGATATTGTTACCATCCACCACTAGTCTGTTGACAGAATGGGCTGGGACTCTGCATTTTGACTCAAAGGTGGAGAGGAGGGGCTTGTGATCGATAAACAAGATGAATTTCTTCCTATACAGCACTTTGCGAAAGCCTCTGACAACGGAACCTAGGACAAATGCTTCCTTCTCCCTCTGTGAGCAGCGTTTTTCTTTTGACTTGAGAAATCGGAATACATGCATAACAACGTTTTTAAAACCTTCCGGGTACTCTTACAATAGTACGGCCCCAACACCAGCGGCGAAAGCATTTGTGGCAACGATGATTGGTAGATGTGGGTCGTTATGTGTTGACAGGATGTCAGATCTGAGAGTGAAATTGAATTGTTCTACAGCATTGTCATATCGTCTTGACTTGGACCATACAGCATCCCTCCGAAGGAGATGATTCAGTGGTTCCCGTGTATCATGTATTAAGGTCAGGAACGCTAAGTAATGACTGATGAGACCAAGTAATGAATGAAGCGTCGTGATATCTGTTGGAGTTGGCGTCTGCTGTATGGCGCGAATATTTTCAGGATTGGGATATCGACCAAATGCATCAAAAATAAACCCTGAATATTTTACTGACTTTAAAAAGAATTAACATTGTCCCGCTCTCAGTTGAAGGACGTTATATAGGATTCGCTGTAGGACCAACTGTATTCGATTCTTTAGTTCCGTTAAGCGGGCGGCAACTATCATGATGTCGTCGAGGTATGCTGCACCGCATGAAATGCCTGCGAGCATAGTATCCATAATGTGTTGGAAAATAGCGGGAGCAGTTGTAATACCGAATGGCAGACGATTGTATTGAAAAAGACCTAGATAGATGTTGATGGTTAGGATTTCACGACATCCTGGAGAAACTTCGACTTGTGAGTATCCGTCCTCCAGACCGATCTTTTTGAAATGTTTCCCTCCATCTAGAGTGTCAAGTAAATTTACTGGAACAGGTAAGGGGTAATGATGTTGCTCCAAAGCAGCATTTAGACCTGCCAAAAGGTCAGCACGTAGTCGGATAGGGCCATTAGCCTTCTTTGTGACGACAATTAGAGCGGCCTAAGAAGAATGGAATGGTGAAGTAGTAACACCTTTTTCGTCCAATCTTTTCAGTCCTGCCTCGATGAGAGATAACGATGCATATTGTACAGGTCTTCTAGGATAAAAAATACGTCATACGTTTGGTTTCAGATATAAGACGGCTTTGATTGCTTGTGGTGCAGTGACCGAGGCATGGTTGGAAAACGTGCATATTTACTAACAATGTCAACAGGATTTGCCGGGACCGTGCTCCCAATGTGTTCCATTCAGTATTCAATCGGAAGTTGACAAGTTTCAAACCCTGGAACCAATCGAGACTCAGCAGGTTTAGGTTAGCATCAGTAATATAACAAACTCCTTCAAAAGTAGTATTCCTAAATAAATTGCATCAGTGTGGTTGACCTGGTAGTTGAAGTTTACCGCTGCACTCACTGGTAGCTGCTTGTGTCGTTCTCAACATTTTTGTCCGACTGGGGCTGGATCATAATTCCTGGGAAATCACTGATTTCAGATGCTATATCCACTTAAAGTCATGCAGTTTGACCATTTATATTAAGGGTTATCCACTTCCGTTGGACTGGGACGGAGCTGTGGGTTAGTGGTTTAGGGAGATGACTACGAAACATTATGTCACGGGCTTGAACCCCGCCTCACTTATCGAGGTTCGAGCAGTCAGGTAGTGTCACCGGCCCTCACATAGTAGATGTGGCTCTTTGCTTGCTGCATGGATATGCACAAGGTAGCTGAGTGCGCCTTGATCGCTTTTCGTCTCGTCGAACTGGGCTACTGATATAAAACGTAACCGTGAAGCTGAGGGATCTCGTTGTAGGTCGACGTCGAAATAGGCTTCTTTTCCTGTTAGCCAAAATTGGTTGTCAGCAAAACCCGTCTTTATGACCCACCGTATGAAGGGGCATGATTTCAACTAATCCCAAGGTCCACAATGCCAACATGCAGATGGTGGTCTTTGCTGACTCCTTTTTGTAAGACGGCGTAGTGCATTACATAATGTAGAACCGGGTGTGGCTGTGTGTGTGATGTACACATCACTTGTTTCAGATAGTCTTCGTCTTTTCATTGCATTGTTTAAATTTATTAAGGGGACTGATTATTTCAACTTAGAGATATTCAGTTGGTAGGATGACGTGAGTCTACGCTTCATGTTTGGTAACAATTTTCCGACGGATCTGTCTACTATGTCGATTAACGTTTTGTGTATGTACGTATTTAAATCTACAGTTTTGACTTGAAAAATGGAGTTCTAACCTCAGAGAAAGATACTAAGTAGTGCGGATTCTTATTCCTGGAGGAGTTTCAGTTTTATGAAGGTTGCAAATACGCCCATCTGACGAACAGCAACATAAACAAGGTATAAACCCAAAGCCTCCAGCTAACTACACCGAATTCTTTATTAATTAATTTCTATTTACAGATCTGAATGGTCACATTACTTAGTTGACAAAATTTGTTCAGCGCATAGGACTGAATTACGTAAAATCAGCCATTGTTCAGTTAGTGATTATATGCACTGAGTTTTCGAACGATTTTAAAGTCGATTTTTATTTGCATCTTTTCTGAAAATATGAATGTTATCTCAAATATTTATCAGATGCTGTATGCTAAAGCTGCTAATCATGGCAAACGTGTTCTTCTGGAAATGGGTGGTAATGCTCCATTTATAGTTTTTGATTCTGCAAATCTTGAAAAGGCTATCACAGGTACATTGGGATGTAAATTTCGCTGTTCTGGTCAGGTGGGTTAGTTTACCGTCAACAATTTATCCTATATTTAATTTTTTCCGTCGGTTAGACTGGATTATGGTGATGATGTTCATCATCATCGTTGTCATCATTAAATTCTGTCCATAAAATGAAATAAAATTGCGGAATGATATGCAATGTAATGAGAAATGCTTGCATTTTAGGTTTCGCATGTTGATGTATTTTTTTATTATCTCTCTGAGTTTAGCTTTTCATTGACAGAGTTCTCGATATCGCTTTTGGCATCAGTGCAGTTTCAAAAGTAAGGAAAGTTATCATGCATAAAGGATTTGGATAATTGTTTCAGTTGTGTGGTTATTTCTGTCTCTTTGATTGTTCTAATGAGAAGTCGTGACCACTGGGGCAAACCTGGTGAATGTGAGGACAAATACTAAACGATGACAGTGGGTGATGGTCACGCTATGTCGTGAACTGACAGAAGTTAGAAATGTAGACCATTGGATCCCGACCCATTGGTTCGATGGTAACGTGGAGGCCACGGGATCTGAAGGTCCTGGGTTCGATCCCTGGGGGGTCACGGATGCACACCGCTGAGGAGTCCCATAGTAAGACAAAACAGCTGTCCAGTGCTCTCAGGTTTACAGTGTTCCTCCAACTGGTTTCATTCCACGATGAACACTAACTTGAAGTCTTCGGTTGTAGTTAGTTGCTTGGACGATACCAGAAATATCACTATGGACTACCGATGTGGTTGATCGGCTTACCAAAGATTCTGGTTCTGCTTTTGAACTCATAAACATCACCGAAGGAGAATCAGTCAATGGAATAAGATATCATGAATACCGATAGTGACATACTAAAGTGAACTAGAACAAGAATGTTTAAAGCTGAACACAGCGAAGGTATAAAATGATAAAATTTGGTTTGCAAGGGAATGTGAAATGTATAAAGTGCGCCTGAAATGATCTAGTACAGCTGCGAATGGGTAGACTTTTCGCCCGAAAATATTTTCACATGGTACTACATTATAGTTTCTACCAAAAAAGTATCATTGACCACTTTCCTGTGATATATTTTTTCCTTCACTGGAAGGGAGAAAGTAAATAATTGGTCCTTGTTACGGAATCGCTAGGTACAGAGGGTCTGTTTAGAGAAGTTAGAAAATTCAGTGATTCACCTGAACTTTAGCTTTTAGTAAACTCAAGGGATTGTATTTCATTATACTGGTAGCAGTAGTGAGGTAGAAGAAAATGCCAAGGTAAGTCAGGTACTGCCAAAAGGAAAGAAGGTTAAGAATTTGGTAGAATACTGAATTATTAGAAGCCGTGGTTAATTTTAAACCTTATTGCTCTATCGGCGTCTCACAGCAATTATCTATCATTGAAACCCTGCTTGCGGTGTTTTTAAGTTCTTCGTAATCGATCTTTTCGTGTTGCATTGTTATTAATTTGTTTTATTAGCAGGAGTTTCTTTTGTTTATCATCGCACTTTGCTTAGGTTTTAAATTTATATGCTTTAGGAAGCGTATTTGTATTGCTTTTACTATGAGAGATTAATAGCACTAGCTCTCCATTCTTAAACCTTAATTCACTTAAATTTCAACTACCGAAACACGAAACCGTGTTTAAACGACCTTAAGCGATATCATAAGCCATAATGTAATGGGTACTACTCATAACGTAGCATGTGGAACTGCATGTGGTTGTTAAGTTATATTGGTACTCATGAGGATGTTTGTTTCTCATATGATCTAATCTATTACTTATTAATTATTAGATCAAACGGTTGATTTGCTCTTCCCTTCTCCCCCCCCCCCCAACAGACTTGTGTATCAGCCAATCGAATTTTCGTTCATGAAAGTATATATGATAAATTTGTTACCAAATTATCTGAAGCTGTTTCTCGTCTTCATATGGGTGATGGCGCTAATTCAAATGTCAATTTAGGTCCTGTTATCAATATGAAGGCATTAAATAAGGTAGTACTGTTTTTTATTTTTACTGATAAATTCATGTGTGATTTTTACGTTCTACAGCCTTTGCTTCTTGTGAACTGTCATCGATACACTACTACGTCTATTCGAAGTGCTAATAGTACACGAAATTTGTTAGATGGGGTGAAGTTTTAACACTGGTCACAATTTTATTACATCAGCATCATAGTGGGTTAATAGAATTGTATCTGTTATGTGCTTCCAGGTGTTAAGTAGGCGCATTTTCTATCGAAATCCTCTTCGTACTACTTTTAATTTATGTATTTGACATAGCGAATGTTCTTGAGTCTATTGCGAGATGTTTTTTTTTGAATTGGTTTAATTTAAATGAAGGGCTGAAACCTTAATATAAAGCCATAAATAATATTCGATAAAGAGATTATTAGTTGTGCGCTGTGGTTATTGGTGAATTTGTGTTCTTTAAGGAGCATAGCTTTGAGATGGACGTCACTTCAGTTCAAAGTATTAGACTTTAAGATATTTTTCATTCTTATGGTCTTTACATACTAAAGAGAATTGCTTTGTTTGGATTGTAGTCACTGATGAGACTTGACTTCTTTCTGAAAGGAAATGATATACTGAATAGTTCAATACTCACTAACCATGCATAGACGTGATGCTTTGTTATCGCAGTCGGTCATTTGCAAAGGAGAGTTTTATCCTGAATGTTCCGTTAAAATTTCATAGCAATAACCTTTTTGTCGTATAGGATTATCATTTTGATTTATTATGTTCTTTCATTTTAAATAGGATACATTAAGAGAGTTTAACTTTAGGCCTTATGTTTTTCACCATGCTCTGTAAAATCTCATATCTTGAGACAGAACTCCTTAGGGCACGGAAAGCTCCCAAAACCGAACGTGTTTAGTGTGTTACTTCGGTTCAACAGCTATGCAACTACACTAATTCTTTTTTTCGGTTTCCTTCATCACAGTCACAATCTTCTCCAATAACTAACACAGTCGTAATGTGTGCTTTATTTTACTGTTTGACATAATGGTTGTAAAAGCCAGAGAAAACACTGATTCGTTTCTATTGGTCATCTTCTATTACACACCTAGTGAGCGTATAATAACTTTTATTAAATGTACTGAAAGTCACAAACTTGAGTGAACTAATAATAGATAAATACTTCAATGATCAATTATTGAAGTCCAATGGATATCCCATAGGCTCTGCAGTCACACAAATCTTTTTTTCATTCGGGTACTTTAAGGAAAAATAGCCTTCCGCGGTGTTTGCCACCAGGAAGTGTCGACCGCCCGCACGCTTACAGTAGTACAAAAGATTCAATCAAACACAACTTATTCTCCCCAACTCTGCCTCCTGCTTTGCCTTCACATCCTGATGCTAAATATTAAGCCTCTTACGCCTAACCCGACCTCTCACTCTGCAGCGTGAGTTGACCAAGAGTCTTCACGTCGATTGCGAGCAGTGGTGGGTGGCGGCATCAAGAGATATGGAGAAGGAATCAACGTTTAGTAACGCTCGGTAACTGTTTAGGCTTATAAAGGATACCACAAGAGGAAAACGATGGTGATTGAAACCGTCACCGTGAAGGATAGGACGTTGATAACCTCCCAGGACAGGTGGGTGAAGCGTTGGGCAGAACAATTCAAAGGACAGTTCAACTGGCCCTCAACAACGCTTCAGTCGCTCGACATCCAACCAGCCTGAACCAACCCTCCTTGATGTTGAGAAAGCTGTATCGAATCTGAAATGATGGGAAGCAGCAGGACCTGACTGTTTGCCACCTGAAGTTTTCAAAGATGGAGGTAGGAGATTGTTGCCTAATGTGATGAAGGTACTAGGTAGTGAGCGTATAGGAATCAGTGGTAGTGCCGTCAGATTGGCGTGCCTCACTGACCACCCCAGTCTATAAGAAGGGAGAGAGTTTTCTTGTAATAACTATAGGAAAATTAGTTTGACTAGTATTGTCTCCAAGGTCCTAGGTTCCATAGTTATCAGACACGTAACTGGAGCTCGAGGAGGGCAAACTCGAGAGAACCAGACAGGACAGCTAGACGAGAGTGCATCAGTCATATTTTCACCCTTCGACAAGTTCTGGAACACAGACATACTTACCGGCCAGTGACCAACACTTGCCGTACTTCTTGACCTGAAGGCGATGTTCGAATCCATTGGCCGTTAGATGTTGTAGCGGTGTCTGGCTGAGAAGGGAATGCCGAGAGAGTATTTCACGCTAATCAAAGTTGTCTACTGGAACTCACGCAGTCGTGTAAGGGCTTATGGAAAGTTGTCATCTGAATTGATATCGACTAGTGGTGTTCGCCAGAGATGTCCACTGTCACTATTCCTACTTAACTTCTTGGTTGTATGATGTTCCCTGAGCTGGGTTGTTTAATAGTGGAGCTTTCGTCTTTCTAGACGACATCTTCAACACTAACTTCAGTATGAAATGAGCTGTTAATAGTTCGTCGTGAGTGATTTAGTAGCTCTTCTTTGGTTGTTACATCTTTTGGTCTGGTCTCCACTATTTAGCTTCGTTATTGACTTACTAATGGACATAGGTCGATCTGACTTCACAGGGATAGACCTTTCCTTAGTGGTCATTTAGTTGACTTCGAGTATGCTGACAATATTGTCCAGCTATGTGAAGACGCTGACGCATTGCAGGGTCTTGTGAACGCGTTGAGCAGAAATCTGAACGCTCGGAACATGTCAAATGTAAGATGATGCTCCAAGACTGGTCTGCTGCAAGTACTCCCAGCTTAATGGTAGGGAGTAAACGGATGGAGTGTGTCGACCACTTCATTTACTTGGAGTTGCATTATCCTAGGAGGGATACAGAAGGCGCATTTGTCATTTGCCAACTCGCGTCATCTGAGGCACCGGCGGGACATCCAACTGTATATCAAAGGACGGGTATGCTGCGCTGCAGTCTGTTCTGTTGTGTGGCTGTTAGCGATCGCCGTTAAAAGTATAAAACATGAAGCGGTTGTAGGTGTTTGATCTTAGGTGTCTTCGTAGCATTGCTCACTTTAGGTGAGATCACCGTTTCAACAATAAAGAGGTCAGGGGAAGGGTACTGTGCAAAACAGGCAACTTGGTTGATGAGGTTGTGAACCTTAGTCAACTGAAGTGGCTTGAACACGTACTGCGCATAACGAGCCACCACCTACCTCGACGTGCCATCCTAAGGGGAGTTGGATTAGGTTGCAAGAAGGTTCAGGGTGACTAGAACAAGATCTTGCACACCAGTCGATGCGGTCTCTTACTGTTGGTGTGTCCTGTGGGGCGATGCAGACTGCCTGGTTGGAGTCCCCGAGAAGAAAGGAACCAATGGTTGATGACTCTTGGTGGCATGGCCGAAAATCGGTCATAATACCGCAGATGTATTTACTTTTTAGCCTTTTTAACCTTTATCTTCAGATTGTTTATACCGCCACACCTCTTTATCTTCTTTGATATCATTTTTTCTATCTGCCTGTTCTTTCTGTACTGCTGCGAAGTATGGCAAGTTGATTCGATGCACCTGTATGCTAGTTTCTATGTTGATTTCGTCAGTCGGTCCAGTAGATCGGTATTATAACTAAATTTTTGCAATCTCAGTCCGAGCAACTGAAAATGATGTACATTTCCTGAAGCTTCGCTACGTTAATCCCTTTTTATCGAGCGAGCACGAACTTTAAATTATGTGTGACTGGGGTTGCCATAACCGCAAACACAAGTGTTCATTCCGGAGATATTGTGCATAGGATTGCAATCTACCAATCTACATGCATCAGAATTTTTATGATTTTGATATCCGTTTGTTAATTCCATATTAGATTTATTTATTTGATATTTAGCGTACAGTGATACAGTATTATTTACTTGATGACATTTTGAACATAAATTATTGCTCATATCATATCACATTGATATGAATATGAGCAATGATTTATACGCGAAACGTCACCAAGTATGTAATACTGTATCACTGTGTGCTATACATCTAATAAAAAAACCTCACTTGGAATTGCATCCTACTACAGTGCCGAAGTCTTACACTTATATTAATGACGTCTTTTTGTTAACTCTGTTTGCAATTTCTATCCAAGGGTTTTACCTCACCACATAGTATGTAAGTGTAAACATGGTTGTTAAGTTGTATATCTGAAATATTTATATCATTTCATTCGTGAACGTGTAATTAACTTTTATTTTATTTTCCCTTTATTAGATTGAGGATCTAGTTCGTTCAGCTATTGAAAATGGTGCTCAAGCGTTGATTGGTGGTCAAGGTAGATTAGTGACCAAAGATTCATTTGGCTTTGATTATTCCAAGGGCTATTTCTATCCAGCTACTGTCCTGTCAAACTGTCATCCAAAAATGGCATGTGTTGAAGAAGAAATTTTTGGACCTGTTGCGTCAGTATGCAGGTACAACAAAATAAGGGGGAAATAAAATATTTTAATAGTAACTCATTACTGTCTTTTGCATAAACTTAAACAACCCATATTAACGATGGATAATGGCTAGCAGTGGAATCCAGCACGTGCGTTTCGTTCTACTCAGAACTCGTCAGCTGGACGTACCTCCAACAACATTAGACAACCCATAGCTAGAAAAAGTTAATAAAATTTATTCTGACATTCAGTTCAACACATACCACTTGCATATTAGAGATACATTGAGGGAAAACTGTTCAGTTTATCTTCAGAATTCTGGGCAAGTCAGTCGGTAAAATTGTGAACGTTTATTGACTAATTTGGTTATGGAATGCATTGGACATGCTAATCTGTTGTCCGCCTGAACGTATGATGTCAGACGTAGCTGAATGAAAAACTAAGGATGACCATGAATAAAGGTGTAGGCATTCTCATTGACATTTTTAAATGTTGATCACAGTAGCACAAATATATCTATTAGTTATTCTTTGTAAAATATTAAGTATCTTATTACTTTTTCTCTGCGCTACTTTGTGGTTCTTTCAGTTCAGTTCACTTAAGTACATCTCTTCCTTTGTACGTGATTTTTCTTTTCTGTTACCAAGTATCGCATCTTTAAGTGAAGCTCATACGCATCAGGTATGATAAGGGGCGAAATAGTAGTAGAGATTTTTCAAGTATGCTGAGTGAATACACCTTTATTCGCATCTGAAGTTTAGCAGTCAATTCTTATTTCTCTTTGACAGTTAGCAGATAGTACTTTGTTAAGGAATTTATTAATCACAGGAAGAATAGGAAAGTGATTGATTTATAACGTTATGTTTACTTAACATTTCCGTTCATTCTAACTCTATCTGGTCACACATTTGTTCGAAATGTTCAGATGTTCCTCAAAATGAAAAGGAGTGGTGTTGTTACTGTATCTTCATAAATAAGCGGTGAACGAAAATAACGCGGTTGTTTCCGTCTTTGTAATTTCAAATATTCATTACCTCTATGATATTATATTCCACTATGAAAGCATATTATGCAATTGCATTACATTAGATTAGTTTGAGCTTTCAGCAGAACACAGAGATCTGAACAAATTATCTTTTAATTTGATTGGCAAGGATTTTCTGTTGTCCTTGTCAATTACTATGTTAAAATATCGTATGTTTTAATCTTCATAAGTATTTACATTTACCGTTTTTGTTTCTTAATTTAGATTTAGAAGTGAAGAAAGTGTAATCGAGTTGGCCAATGAAACATCTTATGGTTTAGCTGGATATATTTATACAGAGGATATGGGTCAGGCATGGCGAATGGCAGAGAAATTACAAGTTGGAATGGTTGGTCTGAATACAGGATTTGTCAGTACCGTTGAACTACCCTTCGGTGGAGTAAAGAATTCAGGTATTGGACGTGAAGGTGGACCGAATGCTTTACATGAATTCATGGATATTAAAACAATTACATGGGACGTATCAGAAAATTAGTCATTTATATCTGCCTCAGTTATACTCTCCAGAAATAACTTTGTTTTTTAAAAAAACCTCTTATTTTAGATCCTATTTTCTCGATGTAATGATTTCATCTGTGAGTTGTTTCACCATTTTTATTTTTCCACTTCTATCCAGTTATTTTTTCATAACTTTTTTTTCCTGTATACTTTGTGTAACCTCGACACATTTAACTTGTACTACTAAGATGACCGATTTATCAAATACATATCTTAGGAACATTCTTTGCTTAAAATTTCTTATTAACGTGTAAGAGGTTTTAGGCCATTTTGTTTATGTAGGTAGAGTCATTTAGTCAAATATCAGTACTTACTGAAGCTACAAACTTGATACAGTATGTGGACTAACAAATATGCCGTAATTTTATATTATATAAAGCCGTATGTCAAAAGCATGGAATCGGCTATTTGATACAGGGAAACATTACTACTTACTGGGTTTAGTTTTTGGTAAAATTTATTGCTGATCATCTTATCAAAGTAATTACACAGTTTTCTGGTTTCGTTTTTGTAGTTTTAGCAATAGTAGATTCAGGTATAACTCTACATATTTCCTGTTTAGTTGTTTGATGATGTTATGTGTTACTTAAATAGGTATGGTCTAACGATGATTGGCTGCTAGACAGACAAGAAGGTTGTTAATATGGATGAAGTGAGTTGAATAGGGCATATATTTTAGAAAAAATAGCTGAGGATAACGAGCTAAAGTCAGGAGGATTATCTATTATATATTATTGATTATTTAATCTTAGCCGTAATAGAAAGTGTAAGAACTTTCTAATCTGTGTTAAGTTGTACTTAGTTGTGTTTGTTTTCAGGGAGACAGAAGGATGAAGGATAATTTAAGCAACGAATGTGCGTCTTATTGGTCCTAGGTAGACACGCGTGATTTGGCTTGACTATTGTTGACTAAATAAAAGTACTGTCAGTAATACAGATTTTGTCAATCGTAGCGCGAAAATTGTGCCATTAAATTAACGAGGAATATCGTATTCAAGTTACATACGGTGACTATCAATACCCTGGTGCATTCGCTTTGATAACACTGAGGGTTTTTTTTGGTGGTTATTATGTGACGAAATGCAGATTACTATTGCTAATTTAATGTTATTGACCTTCACAATGGGCTTTCTTAATAAGAAGGAAACTAAAAAGCATACAGTACGAATGATGTGATAGTCCAAGTCAAATGACTAAATCAAAATTATCCTGTTAGTAGTAGAAAGGAAAAAAAGTTACCTACCAAACAGGTATTATGATGCTTATAAACATGTACTGCTGCTTCTACTGCTACCACTAATAATGATAGTAATAGTAATATGTTTGGCTTATACCAAACCATAGTTTTGTTTAGAGTACAGAGTTCTCAGCATGTAATGTCGTACAATATTTTTCAAATATATTAACAATGATATTGGTGTACAATATATTATGAATAGTAATAAGATTATCATTTTGACTGTCTAAGATAACCGTGGTTTAGCAGACTAGTATTGATACTGGGTGATGATTGAAGGTAAAATGAAAATTTGGACCGCTGCTGGATTCAAATCAACTACCACCGGGTTACCGGCCCGATGTTCTACCAACTGAGCTACAAGGTCCGACTCCTGACCAGATTTTCATTTCACTTCAATCACCAAGGGTTTCTCCCGACTACTATGTTAATTCGTGATGCGTTACTACCGCTTGATCGTATTCACACTGGATGCATAGTCAGGACTTCTCATCCCAGTCCAAATCTAATTGAATTAGAGAGGGAGAGCATCATATTGATTATCATTTTGACTATCAGAGATTGGTATAGTGAATGAAGTGAAATAAAAATCTGGTCAGCAGTCGGACCTCGTAGCTCAGTTGGTAGAGCATCGGGCTGGAAACCCGGTTGAATTCGGCCGCAGTCCAAATTTTCATTTCACCTTCAATCATCACTCAGTATCAATAATAGGATTGTTGGAATACTTAATGTCTGCAAGGTTATGATTAATATTCCCTATTAAAAAGTTGAATGATACGATTGCTTCTAAGATGCTTTTCTTCATAATACAATCTAAATTAAATATAGTTGAACTTTAGTATGTAGCTGTGCATGCATAAAGTTCAATGTATTTGCTTCTTGTCTTCTCCAATCGCAGACGTAGAGAGGAGTGAAGAAGCAGGTATTGCTTGTCATCGGATAAAATATTTGTAACCAGCTGTTTAAAAGACCTGTGATACTTTTCCACATTCAAGTTTATTACTACGGTCAGTGGTGTACTACTTGTTCTACTGACAACCTTCGAAATCCTACGCAATACAGCATGGTCATTTTTCCAGGGTTCAGGAACTAAAAAGGGGGGGATAATGAGTAAGTATACGCAAAACATCGGAATTAATGAAACGTAGTATTCGAGGCTGAGCAGTGTCAGACAGTTTCAGTTCCTTTATATAAAAGACAGAGCTAAGGTTTTTCCACAAAATCAGCAGAATATGAAGGGGCAGGGCTGAGAAAAATCAGAGGGAAAGCATAAGGCAAGATGGATCACACTAGATGCATTCTCTAATTTAGAGCCATCAACAAGACGAGTCACCAGATTTGAAGCAGTTTACATAAGTCTTGTTCACATTTTGAGCTAACACTTGGATTGATTGAATTTGAGGCAATATAACGAAAACCAAACCAGTGACCAGTTCTGGTTAAGAAGTTATTAAACGGAAGACTATCTAGAGAGGATATGGCCGGCATGGATTCTGTATGGTCACTCGCATTCCTGGCAAAATTAGTTTTAGCTGAGGTGGGTAAGTCAAAAAGAGAAAGAGAAGAGTAACAACAACACCTTGAGGCACACCTGCTTAACTAAGTAGCGAAGTACAGCATTTCCTTCTGTTAAGATGCACCACCATTTCTCGGAAAAATAGAAATTAAGCCACTTTGCAACCTGGGACTGAATATGACTTCTAGCAATCTTGTTCAATGATAGGGTCCAGGGACGGAATCAAAGGGAGAAATATAATTTAAAAAAGGTATATCTGACATATTTAGCATCCTTATCCAGATGTCTAGTAATATTATAGTGTAAAACAGCTACAGTGCCTAATGTACTCCTTCTGGGTTTGTAGGAAAACTGATTGGGATCGCCAGAAGCCTCTATAGGAATGTTAAGCACACGAAGTAAGTTTTTCCATAGCTCTTAAGAATGGTGAGATTATTGTGATCTGTCAGAATTTCGCTGGTTTAGTACGCAGACGTCTTTGCAGCCTTCATTACTGAGTGTTCTGGCAGCAAGACCTTTATAACGTCACCATATACTCGAAGGTGTTTTGCATGATATAATCATCTGGTTATACATTAAGTTTAGGCGTTGTATTTCAGACTTAAGCAGGAAGTTAAGTCATTTAACGTCAGTTTAATTAGTTATTCCGTTTGCACAGTTTTTCTTTTTCTCTCCTCAGTATTTATAATTGTAGAGTAGAATGTCTATCAAATTTTTGAGAAGAGGTGTTACAGCTGGGCAGTAAATGTCGAGGCAAAATCAAAGATAATAAGCAACAGCGTCTATATTGTCCTCCAGTGCACCATTTCCAGATAAATTCTATTCTATATTTTTCAAAATGACGAAATATACCCATTTATTCTTGAATAAGAACAAGACATGTATCAGCGAAGAAATATTCCTTTTCAACGACTTCATTGTCAAGCTGTACAGTCGTATTTATACTCGGTAAAATGATATGATTGCACTAAAAAGTTGCTCAGTCGATATGCAAAATATACAATTGGTGTAGGTAGTAATATTTGTTGAAGTGGAAGAAATAGAAAATGGGTCACTGAATAAAGAACAAATTCATAACAAGTGGTGAGATGAGAGACACGTGCTGTCAAAGAAGTGTGCAACGGTGATAATTTAGCTAAAACATGCTAAATAGGTCAATGAATAAGGAATGAATTGATATTAAATAGTGAAATATGGGTCAAATGTTGCCAATGAATGGAAGATTGGTGATGATGGTAGTAAAAGAAAAGTATACCAGAGTGAAGTGAAGTTGACAAAATAACGAAAATGAATTGTTAAGGCCAAGGTAAAGAAAGTGGTCTCACAAAATGTTTTTCAATGCAAAGTTTCGGTTATTGTTCATGTATAGCTAATGCTTCAGTTATGCATAAGTGATGGAAACGCAAACCTTTGGAGTAGTTCAATTTAACTTTGTAAATTACTTTTAAAGATGAATCTCGAGGTGCTGAATGACCCAATTCTACTAGGTGTTCACATATGGACAAAGTCGTTTTCCTTCCATCACCTTTGGTAAGCCAAACCGGGTAATGTTCAGCAACACGTTTTCGGAGGGTTCACTTACAACGTCCAATACAGTCAGCTCCACAGGAGCATGTGGATTTGTAGATACACATAGATATGGATATAGATGGAAATCGAATCAGAAGGCAGCTGGAGAATATCAGTCTCAGTCAGTCTAGCAGCATAGAAGCTACTGTTGATACATCTTGACAGACGGTTTCTCAGCACTTTGGCTGTAGTATCTCCTTTGAACTGGTAGCATCGTGTACGCCTCCTTGACCTGGAAAGAAATACTTCTCAGCCCGAGCATTTTATTTTCAAGCTAACCAGTGAATAACGGGATTCATTTGAATTTTATCAGAGGTGATAAAGAAGAGATATCAAAATGTAAGAGTCAAATTACTGAAAAGTTTCAAAACTGCTGAGTCACATGACAATTTCCCAGATGTACCAGAGAGATACGCATTTAACCACTCCAGTACAACCCTGTCAAAAATCCAGATGTGTGTATATTTCATTTCGCAATCAGTTATATAAATAACCAGTAGTCATTTTATATATATATCCAAACCAAGTTGGAATATGATGGTTTGAAAAAGAGGAACACTTATCAAATTATCATTTATAAGCTTGGATATTGTAAATTCCTTTTCACTATAACTTTGATATAGCTGTTAGCACTAAATAGCGAAACGTCATTTGAAACAAATTTATTTTGTTTTACATTCATTAGGAAATACAAATACCAAAATAATGAGTGGTCATTTTAATTGCTATCTATTTTCACCTTTTCCGATCAGCATGTACTAAATTCAGTGATCTTTTGGGGTTAATCTATGTTTAATGAAAGATTATTTTAGGTAAAAAAGATAATTTGTGTTCGTGACTCTAATGTTATTGACATTACGAAGATTTTGCATTTTAAATGGTGTATGAGAAAGTGTCATTTGATGACCTGAGCTACTTAGCTATTGGAATAAGAACGGTGCCTTAATTGTAAAGACGTATTTACCCTGTATTTCCATATTTTAGGATATCATATGGATTTTACTTTACTCACATTTTCGAAGGATATATTTATGGTTTCGATTTTAGACCGGTTATCATAAGCTTCATCTGAACTCCATATGACCGATAATGCTACTGCTGGTCATGTTAGTTACACACAGTATTAATTATGTCCCGCCTTCTACAACCGCCCGATTCTAGGTGTAATAAATAAAAACAAACTGCCTGATTCTGCCACTTCTATGTGCATTTATCAATTCAAATGCTCCTGTGGAGCTAGTTACATTGGGCATACAATGAGGCAGATCCATCGTCGAATTTCTGAGCACCACCCATCATGTTGAACAAGGGACAAATTAGAACTATAAAGAGCTCCATACTTGCACACTTAGTTGACACAGGATATCAAGTGGTTACTGGAAAAGCCTTCAAAATTATCTATCAGATTCCAATTAATTTACCTCATGGATTACACACTCGATTATTTCACATAGCAGAGGCGATTGAAATCCACCTTTATAAACCTAGCCTTTGTATCCAAAAGAAGTTTGTCGGACCACTTTCATTACCATGGCTGTCAATATGATGTAACTTCTAGGTTTATTTTGTGCACCTCTTCCCCTTCCCCTTGTTTCTATCACTATTCATATTTTTAATTTTAGTAACTCTGTTGATTATTTACATCATCATTTCCGAAACACCACCACGTGATTGGTAATTTGATTAAATTGTAAACCTATATATTAGTGTAGAGCCCAAGATGAAGACCTAATTGAAAAGGAATATACTTCTCCGCTCAATCAGTCTTTTTATTAGTTAATGCACTTTACATGATGCATATTTTGAATATTTTCTCTATAGAGTTCTATAAAAATGAGAATAGAAATAGTTGAGTACTCTGGAATTTCTGATGTAGACATCAACCAAGTGTCTTCAGATTGTAAGAGAACAGGAATTTTTTTCACAATATTTGCATCAATATTTCGTCCAGTGGTTTTAAGCATCTATATTGCCAAAAGTCATATTCATTTAAAATAGAGACTAACTTTTAACTTTCGACTACGTTTTATATGTGATATACTTTATCCAAAGAAAGAAGTAAAGAGAAGCAGGTATTCGTCAATGGATAGATGTTACTGCAATGTGTCTAATCAAAGTATTTCAGCAGTGATAGTGAACATATCGAAATACTCAAAGTAACTGGAAACAAAAGATCAGTCAAAGCAATGTCCCATTCTCCTTTCAATTGTTTATTTATTTCAAGGAATTTTATTTTCTAATATCACTTTTGTCTCATAATATTTCGATGAATGTGGTTCTTCACAAAATAGTGTTGATGAATTGAAAAATAACTAATTGCATAAAAATATAAGTTTGATATTGACAAAATAATAAAACTAAACTTTATTTCCACACAACAATTTACAATACAGCATTGTTGTTACTGCTCAAAAAATTATTCAACTGTCAATTACACTTTTTTTAGTATTATTAACACAAAAAAGCTGGCGAGAATTTCAAAGTTGTTTAAATACAGTTTTTTTTCTTGGTAATAAGAAACTATTATGATATCGAGTTTGTTATCGAAGTTAATTGATGAGATTGTAAGTTTTCTCCCTTGATTTTTGAAATTTTTGTTTAAACCATATGTCAAACTCTAAACAGCTCTTATTATAATTTTGTCTTTTCCTGATAGATGTTGAGTTTAATTCGAAGTATAACCATTATGCATATTCTTTGTTATTGTGATACAGGGATTGAATTTTCCATTTAAATTCACAATTATTTTCATAATTGCTGTTAGTTTTGGTCATTAGATTAAAACTGTTTCTTTCAGTTTCTTTCAAAACTGCCTGATAAACTTGAATCATTTAAATCGTTGACACTGGAGGTTACACTGACAATGTTTTCTGACTTAAATGATGCTTTTAAGTAGTTGGATTTTTGTTCCCAAAAGCAGTCTGGTTCATTCTCAGTATAATTATACGCACTGGTTACTTTCCTGAGATGAGATTGTGAACTCATTTCGTACTTTTCACTTATTCCATTAAAATTCTTATTATTGAGAAAGTTGTTGCCTAGTAGAAATACTCCATGTGACATATTCATTTCAATTTCTGGTTCTGAACACTCTGGTGAATTTGGTGAGACTGTCAAAAGATTCTTAAGATCAGCATTCTTGTCCAACATCTACATGATCAAAAATTAAAAATTAACGGGATTTAAGTTATACAATAACACTAAATAAAACCTAAACATTAAATAAATGTATGATAGTGTGGAACCATTTGTGAAACTTAACTATTTTAATGTAGTTTTTATCATGGGTTGATATCAGTTGCATTAATGCGTACCTGCATTTACATGGGGTATCGTACTCAGGACCGTCAAATATCATGGTGAGTACGTTACCCATCCAGCCATTTATGATGGCGACTACCTCGAATTCAAAAACCTGTCAGTTGAATTTCATTATCTTTCAAGAGTTTAATTAGGTAGTTAGCTTCTCAGCTTTGATCTAGTATGCTTTGTTTTTCATATCTGGCTTGATTCTACCTGCCTGGTGAATTCAGGAAGTAAATTTATTACCAGTCATGACATTTCCTCTGATTTCATAATGGGTATTTGGTGAGTCCCAGTAAACTGTAGGGGCTAAAAGATATCTTTATTATAGATCCTGATTTCTGATGGCGGTTTGATGTTTTGTCGTGAGCTTACCATCACTAGGCTTAGTGACATCTTCAGCACTACATAAAGAAGTGAGGCGTATTCGAATATTACACAGATGACTGGATGTTGTTTTTCTTAACCTCGGATGCTGTCTAATTGTAAGTTGGGGAAGAAATTTTTTATCCCATCCTTATCTCTTTGGCCTTAAATTTCCTTCAGCCACGTCACCAGATTCCATTTTATTCTGTTTCTTGAAATGTGAAACAGTATCGTTTACTGGATAACGTTTCCGACACAGCTTATTGTCTATATTCATATCGGGTAACTCCATAACTTTGAGATAGAGTTTATATTGTCCTAATTTTCCCTCCTTCTTTGTGATGACGACAGTAGTAGAATTTTCCATATATCTCGGACAGGTGCAGAATCATTTCTATTGCATGTATTTGGTTAGAAACGATTCTGCACCTGTCCGAGATATATGGAAAATTCTACTACTGTCGTCATCACAAAGAAGGAGAGAAAATTAGTACTATATAAACTCTGTCTCAAATTTGTGAAGTTACCTGATATGAATATGGACAATAAATTGTGTCAGAAACGTTATCCAGTAAATGATACTGTTCCTTCACCGTGTGACATTTCTAATGAGCAGACTAAGATGGGATTGCAATCTACCACAGTGCCCAAGTTTTACTCCTGCTCATCATTAGATTTTCTTTGTTGGAGTGAAGTTGTGCTGTTTGTTGTTATCACACTGTGCATCATTATTGATTTGTCCAGTCAATTTGTCCTTGGTTGTTGGATGACTGTTCTCTTCCAAAGTAGATTGTAGATTGAGTCTATATCCATATATCTCTTGACAGAACAACTGCCTCAAATCAGCTGGCATGTTACAAAACCTTACATCAAAGTTATCTCAGAAACAGTCAGCTGAGTGCTGCCTCCTTTCGGAATCAGAGTGGGACACAAACCAACGAAATTCCTACACAGCATGCTGTGCAAACCAGAGAATCCATTACCAAAAGAAGACAGGACAAATATAATCTACAAAATCAACTGCGAAAACTGTTCACAGCATTATGTTGGCGAATCTAGTCGTTGCACTACTCGAAGGGTCCATGAGCACCAAGTAGCATTAAGTGACATGACGCTGCCACCTTTATTTCCAAGCATGCGAACAAGCACGATCACAAATTTGAGTGGAAGTAGGTGGAAACCCTCCAAAGAGCAGGTTCAAAAGCTGCGAGGGAATTTCTAGAAGCATGGCATTCAAACGAAATGTCAGTCAAAAGACATGGGGATACAGACCCAATCTACAACCTGCTTTGAAATAAAACACTCATCCATCAACCAGGGACAAATCGACTGGACAAATCAATATTGATGCACAGTGTGATAACAACAAACAGCAAAATTCACTCTAACAAAGGATATCTAATGACATGACTGGAAGAAATTTAAGGTCAGCGAGATCAGTGTAAGATAAGAAATTTCTTCCTCAACTTACAATCAGACAGCATTTAAGGTCAATAAAAACAATATCTAGACGTTCGTGTAAGGTTCAAATACGCTTCACTCCTGTATGAAGTTAGTGCTGGAGTCATCACTAAGTCTAGTGATGAAGAGTTTACGACAAAATAAGAAGCTCAGAGAATACCATCGTCCTTGTCCTGAGCTACTAATTTTTTCCATCATTTCAAAATCTCTATTTTTATAATCACAATCATTCTTCCAGTCACCGTAACTGGTATGTAAAATGAACTTTGACGGCTTATTTTCCTCACTACTTTTTCTCTTCATGTTTTACTCTTCCTAATAATGCCATTAGGTTTGTTATTTTTAATCACATTCCATCCCTTTATGCTCCATCTGAATGAATAACTTCTATATGGGTTAACTCAAGGTTATGTAAGTTATTATATGATTGTTTACGAAAGGTGTTTGCAACGTTACGTAACTACTTTATGCTACCAGAATTTCTCTCAAAACTGGGATGTTATTATTTACTGTAATTTATAGATACATCTGTATACTGACACGTAAATGGAGTATTTTTATAGTTTTACAGTCCACAATTTTTTGTTCAGGAAAAATATTTCTTTGATAGATTTTCTTTTTCATTCACTGATTGGAGGATGTTAACGTACTTAGCGAGAGCCTATTGTTTTTGCTATAGACACCTCGTCGTCTACAATGTCATCATCATTATTGATGCCCCCCCCCCCCAGAAATAAGTTAAACAGCTAAAATATGTTAACGTTGATTCTAGTCAATCCTGTAGCAGCGGATTCGATTCGAACATTTCAACATTCCTGAATAACTGATTAATTCAGTTACAATGAGTAGTACCATACAAGAAGAGGATCTGGTAAAAATTTTGTTTTGTTGTGGAGGTGACTTATGAAGGTTAACCGTATGTCCAATTAAATAACTACTGGGTACTGCACTAAATGGAGAGCATAGTTTATTAAAAGGCTTAACAGATAACCTTTAGAAACAAATGTATCAATAAGATAAAATATAAGAAAATTTCATTGAATGTACTAGCAATAAAAAGGATAATTATTAGTCGGTTAAGTGATTTTGATATTAAATGAATCTGTAATATAGCCTATTAATCTCAGACAGATAGAGGGACTGACTTTCTAAGATGCTTACTTTTTGGATAGTCTTTGACTGCAGACTCATTTATTTTCATACATTCATATGCAAAAGCTGAAGTTTACATTGTGTCTGACAGTATTAAGATAATCTGGATGTTTACACTTATGATGCGGAGTTGTGAGAACAAACGTGAATACTTAACGATTGATAGTCGAGGGTTGAAACGATTCAACCCGAGTGATTCGCAAAGAGAAATCAAAAGACTGGAAATCGGAAGAGTTTATGATATCTCGGACTGAAAATATTTATGAGTGAAAAAGGACCCCATTTATAGGGTTTGCAGTAACCTTGAAAGACAAGGAATTATTAGTACATTTAAAGAGGCGGGAGCCAATCAGAACAATAGCGGGTCAAAGGAAATATGACTCACGCGCGGGTAAAGAGCGCGAATTAACCAGTTCAAGTATATACAAACTGTCAGTGTGGAATATAAGGGATATAGGCATCCCTAAGAATATCCTTCTTAATAATTCCTTTTGAAGTATATCTTCTGGATCAATATTATATGCAAATGAGTATCCTTGAAATTTTGGGTTATTTTCTGCAGTTTACTCTATTTACATTTCTGCTAGCCTATCAGATATATTACACAGTGAAACAGTATGTTGTTTTGATACTTATAATTTCCCGTCGCTATACAGGGCTGAACCGCTTGATTTCATCCACTTCTATTAGTGAATTTGTTTCCTTATATGTCGAGAATAATTTCTTTTCAAATGTTTCAATAAATTGTAAATATTTTGTCCAAGATTATGACCAGGAAGCAAAGACTCATCATAACGGTCATGCATGTGTGGAATTGGTGTGGCATTATATGAATAAGTAAAGATCTCGCCGCTTAACCTGAAGGTCCTGAGTTCGATCTCTGGTGGGGTAATAAGTGCACACTACTGGAGAGTCCCATGCAAGGAAGAAACAGTTGTTCACTACTCTCAGGTTTTCAGTGGTCCTCCAACTGATGTCACTCTGTGGTGAATACTAACTTGAAGTCATAGGCATTTGTTAGGTTATCTAAATTTGTCCCTGTATTTATATTGCCAGTCGTTTGCTGTGCAAAAATGTCGGCTGATGGATATTTTTACAATTTTGTATTTTCTTATTTCAGTTTATTATTAGATTATTCATTTGTTTAAAGAAATTCTACTTTATAATCTTGATGTTACTATGAATAATAAATTGTATCAAAAATGCTATTCAGTGAATAAGATTGTCAAAACATGCCATCCAGAAAAAAATAAAACCTCGTATAATCCCTCGCAGTGGTGAATGAGTTCAAGTTGCTACAGTTCACAGCAGCATTCGAGGAAGTAGTGGATCTACAAGAAATACTACTGAAGAAGAATAAAGAAATAAAATGGGATTACAGACCACTACAATGCCCAAGTTTTACTGTTATTTGAACTGTGTCTAGTGTTGACAGTGAGACGTAAATAGATGGATGGGAATCACTATGTTTAGTCCATTATGTGTAACAAATACTTTTGTTTTACTTGGAATATGCAATTATTATTTCTTAGCATTAAAGGGTATCAAGAATTTATATCTATTTTATTGCATTATAGTAATCATTCTCATTTAATTATCTAAGCAATAATAAACCAGTTCTTACTATTTACGCGTTTTAAGATTAATCAAGGGACGAAGACCTCATTTGGAATCAGAGTATAGTCTTGCTATATCACGCCTGTTTTAGGAAATGTAGACCGTTTGATTTCATTGATATGTATAATTAATAGCATGCTCAGATGAACACGTTGACTTCACTATGTTTCCATGTTTCGAAGGTTAAGAGATTATCCTTGTTGATAGCTGGGAAATTAACGTGTTGGTCGAACTTAGAAATAACAGTTATCCAAAGAGCAGTGCCGACTGAAACGCTTGTTCCTTCCGGCCCTAACATGGTGGAAAAGTCTGTTCCATAGTGGTGAGACAAACGCAGCTACCATAATAATGTAAGTAGCTGCTTAATAATACGGTCCATAAGCGAAGTTGTACTGATGGCTCAAGGTGATGTTGCGGCTGTAATATGTTTTTGCACCAATCACCACCAGTACCATGTTGATGCTGCCTTCTCTATAAGAGAAAGGCGTGCCTAGGAAATAGCACACTCCTCCCTGCTCTTTTGGCTTGAGCTTTGCTTGCCAGACACTAGGACAATGAAGTCTCAGTTCAACTCTGATTATGCGTCAGTATGGGTAGGTGTATATCTGCGCCTTACAGATGAGGGAAAACAGGTGGCAGTGAGGTCTGTGCATGTTCGTATTTAGAAAGGTAATAGGTAAGCATTCGTTGGAACACAGCCTGGAGTTATTCTCAATGTCCTGTAGAAGCAGCTGTAAAGACAGTTGGTAAGCTACATCCAGAAGTTAGCGAAAGCCAGTCGATTTGTACAATCTCTTACAAGCTAATTGGTGCGAAAAGACTGTTGCCAGCTGGCTTTGAGGAGCGAAAGCAGCTTGTACGCTAACTGAATTAGTGTTTTCACAGTGATCACGAGGAGTGGTGGCTGGCGAAATCGAGAGAGATTGAGAAGGCATCAACATAAGTGGTGCTGGGCAACTATTTCATCTTATTAGGGTGCTATCAGGAAGGAGATAAGGGTAAGTGAAACCATCACCGAAAAGGATGGGACCCTGATATACTCATGAGAGATGGGTAGGACTGAGTAGAACACTTTGAAGTAGGTTGCAACTGGCCTACGAAAACGTTTCCGTTGCCCAGCATCGAGCCCAGACATGCATGGGAGGTAGATGGTGGTCTCCTAAATCCCGTCGAAGTTGAGAAAGGTGTTTCTAACTGGAAACAATGGAAAGCAGAAGGACCTGATGGATTGCCACTAGGAGTTTTTAAGGATAAAAGTCGATTAACTGAGGTACTAGGTGGTGTATGAGAATGAGAAGTAGTCTCTTCGAACTGATGTACATCTCTGATCATTTTTGTCCCAAAGAAGTGATAGGAGTTTTTTTATGACTGTCATGCGGGAATCAGTTTTACTAACATTGTGTTTGAAACGACGCCTAACTGTAGCTGGAGGGAAACGAACTTCGGAAACCCCGGCAGGCTTGAGACATAACCTTAGAAATCTCTGACATCATAAACATTGACATAAATCCTATGGGGTATCAGGTCGACTTAGAGTATGCAGAAGTTGGGCTTGGTTCAAAAGAGACTTGGTTTCGCATGGCCAAGGCTTATCAGCAGTCCGTGAAGTCTCTGAGTGTTGATATGGAAATCTTGTCTTCCTCGTTGAAGTTATCGAGACTATAGTAATCCGTAGTTTAGAGACATTTGGTGATGTGGCTGAAGACCGGCCTTCCTTACCCCGTTATGTCTATTGTTTGTGGTTTTCTAAAATTCAGTAAGCTTTATTATTCTTCATTCTGCGATGCACTTTTGTCTTCTTTCGTTTCACGTTTATCAGTTTACTCGTTTTTTTTGCATGTTGCTGTGAACTGAGGCAACTTGAACCGATTTACTTCTGTGTAAGGCTCTACATTGATATTGTATTTTGTTAAGAGTGGTTGTAACTGAAGTTTAAGGAAACACAATAGGGCAGTTACTGTGTAATCTGCAACTTTCATTGATTCTTCAGCTGATATCCTTCTTTGCTGACGATTATCTTTCACTTAATTATCCTTAAGCAAAATATTGAAGTGAATCGAAAATAACTTAGTTAATATCAGAAAATTAACTCTTGAGTCAAACATTATAAGTAAAGATTTTCGACACATTTACCACGAAGTTCTAGTAAGTTTTCATATTTAGTGATTAGAATGATATCAACTTTTAGTGGATATGAAAAATACTTGTTAAACTAGCAGTTTTCTGTTCTTCGATGACTTACTTGTTTTGTACAGTCCAAATCAATAAGGTCATTCTTGGATAAGATTTGATGCTGTGTAGATTGTAACTCTTTATTGCTAAATTTCATATTGCATGAATCATTACATGGGGTGAATATTTCTGTACTACTACTATTGTTATTAGCGCAATAAACAGATCCACAGTTATCATGGTCGTTTTTATTACCACTACTATTAATTAATGGTCTGTATTTATTTTGTGGATAGTGTAAAAGTCTCATTAAAAGTGATCCAGACTGATTGTCATTATCATTTACATGATTAATATTTGTTAAATCTGTTTGTATTTTAAAAGTGTTTGAAGAGATTTGTGACGGTTGTTCCATAAATGATTTCATTTGAGTAGACAACATTTGATGTGAATGAAATGGTATATATTGACTATGATTGAACTGATATAATTTATGATCCCAACATTTTGATGTATCTAATAAGACTGGATTATGAGAGCTTATTTTATCAGTAGGAGTAGTAGTCTTCAGCGTGGTTGTGGTAACACTTTGAGAAGTGTTAACTACTGCACAATCATTAACAAGATTTTCTGTCATTGTTTCATTGAATGGATAGTTAAGGGCTTGTTTTTGTGACATTTCCATCCACTTCATTGCATCTTCTGGCTTAACAAATAAACAAGGATACTTTGTTGACGTGTGTTGATGTTGGAGGGAATTTAATCTAGGGACTGAATATGCTGAAGGCGTTATGAATGGAGTTGATTTTGATGAATGGCTTGTTGGCTTTGTCGATGTAGATGATGATAGTGTAGACTTTAATGATGATGATGTTGTCGATAAAGATAACGGAGGTGCATAAGCAAAGGGAGATAAGAATATAGAAAGTGGATCATTATTCGGTTCATTAGTTTTAGTTCCAATAGCTCTGGTCAGGTTCAGCTGGTCTGGATTCAAACTAGTTGTTAATGGCTTAGAATCCATTTTGCAGAGTTGTTCATTAAAAGTTTCTTGCCACAAAAGCGGTTTCATTGTTTTCGATGTAAGATTATACGTGGAAGCCTTAGGTGTTGAATTACTTATTGTTGTTGTCACCGTTACCATTTCCTGCGTAATAGTTGATACCAATGCTGTTGTAGTTCCTAATTCTGTCTCCATTTGGGGCTTTGTATCTGGTATTATATGTGTGCAAAAATGACTACTGACTGGCATATTCAGTAAGTTCGAATTTACAAGGAATGAGTTATTTGGCTTGTTGATATTGTAGTTCACATTCATGAATGAATTTACGTCTTGAACTGTTGGTCTGCACTGCGGTAACAGCACTGTTGTCGGTGTAGTCGGATAATATATAATGGGCTTAAAATACAAAGAAGATTAGTAAAACTTAAATACTCAACATCTTAGATATTAGTTCTTATTATTGATCCGCTTACTAGCAAGTTTAAGCAGTAGTATAATTCTAAAATAGATCGTTTTAAGTGAACTTTATCCCTCTGAGCTACAAATGTTCATTGTCATTTCAAAATCATACAAGCATAACACACTTTGTGCTGTACGAAGATGGGAAGACTTCTCTAAGAGACAAACTTCCGCAAGAAAAATTTATTCTTTCTCCACGAGTGCCTACGTCAGCATGTTCTGACGAAGAGTACCAGATTCAGACCACAGATTGACCGTCCAGTTGGATGAAAGACAGCTGTACAAAGGGGAAGACAAACGGTACAAGTAATGATTATAGATGCATATTATCGGATCCGAAAGTACTAACCCACGATTAACAGCCAAAGGAGAAAGCTGGGAGCATAATTACAACATAGCATATATCAACGTTAACAACAGCAACTGAAAAATCAAGCTTCGACACAAAGAGCAACAAACAAAAGCGTTCAGGAGAAAGTTAACCAAAATATCAAGATAAAACAAGTGTGTTGCCAACTTATCAAAATAACCATTGAATAAATTGAAGAAGCTTCTTTTTCAGCAAGGAGTGGATTATAAAAAAGGAGTATCTGGAAGGTAGAATCCTTCACTGCATTGTAATCGTCACTCACAGCATCTGAACTAAATGAGGACACTCATCATCATCATCATCATCATTATCAAAATATGACCAGGCATTACTGCGTAACGGTCCGAGTTGCCATACCTCACGTCAGTTCATCAAGTAGAAAGGTAGTGAGGTGAAGCATGAAGATAAGTGAATGCAGTCAAAAGAAATATAAAGTACGAGAAGAAAGGAAAGAGGAGTGACAAAATGGTGAGATTCGGCATGGCGTTGTTAAGGTGAGGATAATGTGTGTATACATCTGCACCACTGACATCGATTCTGAGCCATATCACCTAGGGTCTCCAACCGCTGGTTCCTATTGTCTCGTGGACCCCAACCACCTAGTCTGCATCGTTCTACATGGCTTAAACCAACAGTCAGAGACTTCATACATTGGTGCCATGTTTTAGTCTGGCCACCTCGGGCCTTTTTCCAGCCTGGACCCACCTCAGCCAACATTGTGTGACAAGGCAATCGGTGACTAGGCATACGTAGTACGTGTCCCAACCATCTCAGTCGATGAAGGTTCATAACCTCGTCAACTGACTTACCTCTTCTCCCTAAAAATCTACACCTGACTTCTGCATTACTCATGTGGTGACACCACGGAATACGTCCCCTACTACGAAGGCAACGGTGGTCAAACACTCGAAGCCTCTTTATATCTTCCACTTTCAATGGCCATGTTTCACAGCCATACAGCAGAACAGAGCGGACTGCTGTGCAGTACACACGACCCTTAATAGACAAACGAATATCACGGCGGCGCCATAGGTGGCGCAAAGTGGCAAAAGCCAATCGAGTCTTTTGTATCCGTGCAGAAATCTCATCGTCAACTAACCCACCGGGGTCGATCCTACTTCCCAGGTAAGTGAAATGAGGACACTCAACAAGATAGACAGCAAATAACCGAACGATCGACTAGACTGAAGGAAGATTACATCCAGTAAATCAGTCAAACAGAATGGCTTAAGGAGACTAAAAAATGAGGAAAAGATCGTTATACTCCAGGCAGACAATCTGTGCACCACATTTGCCATAGACAAGAAAAACTCCGTCGAGTAGGCAGGGGATTTACTTAATGATGAGAATTTGAATCAACCATTTTGGACCAACTCTATCCAAAAACTTGACAACCAGATAACTTAAACCTTGAACAAGCTCGTCAAAACAGTGACGTAACGAAACAAGACAAACAGAAAATGAAATCGAATGGACCTGTTCTTCTTCTGTTTTACGGTAGACCAGGTATTCCTCTACGATCGACAGTCACACCTCTGGACACCCCAATTTATAATAATAATAATAATGGTCGCTTTACGCCAAACAATATGTTTTATGAAAGTATGGAAGTCTCAACACGTTCACTACTGGAACAATGTGTTCAAAACAAATGATTACTGTATCCGAGTGACGTTAATAATGACACTATTAAAGGCAATAATGTTGAACAGTCAGCTGGTGTTGGATTAACTTCCTATCTCGAATAGAGGATGTACAGACAAACGAAAGTAATCTTGGTAGTGAAGGTTCATTGAACCAATACGAAAACCAGCCGTTCTAGCTAAGAGTTCGAGGAGTGGAAATACGATGAGTTTTAGCACAACGAGAAGTCCACTTCCATCGAACTTGACTGCTTTTCTTTGTTTTGTCATCTATTTGAGAAAAGGCTGGCTGAATTCATTCAAAAACCATGAAAAAGTACACAGCATGTTTAGGAGACTTAGTTAAATGATTGGAACAAATTAAAAGGCTGGGTTTGACATATACTTTCGATGACAAATTTTGGTAGCCCAAGGTTCACACTGGCTACCTCACAATCTATCTAGACAGCTTTCCGGGAAGCTGAAATATAGTGTGAAGTCATACGGATATTCCGTCAAATCACCGACAGAATTCTTGGAAAGGATTTAAGGCATTAACTTGGACAACCATGAACTAATTGTGTTTTTCATCGTCACAGCATTATACGCATGAACTGAGCCATAACTGGTTAAGGATTCTATGTTTCTCATTTTAACTGACGTTTCAAGGTTTACGGAGTTCACAAAACTTCAGTACTCAAGTCTAATAGAACTCACTGACCTTTGTCTGACAGCATACTACGATTTAATGATAAGACATGCAGTTAGATGAAAGAAGCTCGAATGGGGTCACCTATATATGGATTAATTATAGAAGTAGTAATGCGAAAACTAGAAGCTGTCATCTAACCGGTGGATAAAACAAAAATTTGGATCTGCTGTGCGGATGACACTTATCACTAGACAGAATGAACTACAAAACACTTACATTTTGGTCGGTAACGCTTACAACACCAACAGATCCACCATGAAGAAGCAGTCGAACAACCAACTGCTATTTCTGGATATCTTAGTCAGCAGGACCAAGGTAAGAAAACTGGAAACTGAAGTGTGCAGGAAGCCAAAGCAGTGCTCAAATCCTCAAATACAGTAGTAACAACCCAAACATCCACACACTCAGTTGGATACAGACCCCAGTCAAAAGAGCAAGAGCATACTGCAGTACAACAACCGAATGAAGGGACGAAGAGGATTACTTGATGTCTATTTTAAATAAGAACGGTTACCCATGAAACTTCATCAGAAGATATCTACGGCGTTCATTATCAACTGCAAAGTCATCCATAGAAATCAACTAACCGATCATCCTACCATACGTAAAGAACATATCAAAGACCAAGAAATACTGCTGAGACCACTTGAAAATGGTGTAGCTCATAAGCAGACAAATTCCCATCAAATCATGTTCGTCAGACTAAAGGACATAACAGCCGAAGATTAGCCAAATATTACTTACAAAGTCAACTGCGGAAATTGGGATAACACTGGATTGGAAAATATTACTGTCCTACCTACTTCCATTTGAACGGAACAGGCTGCCTTCATGAAGTACAAATCATGTATGGATCAAATTGCAACGCTATGCAAAGCATCATCATAGAAAATAGCATGGAATGGCAGTCAACTCTCTACCTCACCTAAAATTCATCCTCTTTAAAAAGACTTTCGACGCAGTCAACCGAGAAGCAGTCTAGCAGGCAGCCCCTTCAAAACTACGAGTGCCAAAAATATTTATCAACCTCATTCAACAGCTATATGACGACGACACATGCCAAGTGATCCACAATGCAAAGCAGCTCAGTGACGCATTTGAAGTGAAGATAGGAGTAAGACAAGGCTACCGCCTAATATCACTCATGATCTTCCTCATTGTGATCGACTGGATCATGCAGCAGACAACTACGAGGAGCGAGAAGATGGGCATACGCTAACTGGACCGATGAAAAGAACCTAGAAGATATGGACTTCACCACCAATGATGATTTATGCATGTCCAATGTCACACAAACTCAAAGATCTACAGGCGAAAACTAACAAGTTGATAGAGGAGGTGGGGCAGGCAGCGAAAATGGGACTTCAAGTGAATGTAGAGAAGACGGAGGTGATGAAGATAACCAACCAACCAACCAACCAACAACAGCAACAACTAATCACAACAAGCATCAATCACCATGAACGGGAGAATCCTAGGGGAAGTAGTCTCTTTCACCTACCTCGACAAGGCAGCATCGTCTCAACTACAGGCAGTGGTATAGACGAGGATGTCGAAGCAACCAGGATCGGGAAGGCAGCAAGACAGGCTCTCATTAGTCTGAAATCAGTGTGGAGATCTACTGCACTCAGCTTAAAGCGTGAACAACATCCGGATTTTCCACACTAATGCCAGTCAAGTCGGTGCTGCTATGTGGTTCAGAAACGTGGCGCGTCACGAAAGGTACTTCCAACAAACTATAGATATTTACCAACAACTGCCTATGCTGGCTTGATACTGAAGATCAGATGGCCGGAATAATGAGAATAAACAACAAGGAACTCACTCTGGCCTCGCGACGAACCAACCAAGAACCTGTCACCCAACAAATATTCAGAAGAAAGTGGAGATGGATTGGATTGGGCATACACTGAGAGGACCGATGGAGGACATCACGCACCAGATCAGATCAGGCCAGGCCAGGCGAGGCCGTTGAGTGGAATCCGAAGGGGAAACGATGAGTTTGGCATCCTAGCTGAGGGTGACATGGAGGTGACCGTATGAAGAGGAAATGAAAGCTTGTGGGCAGTCGTGGTGCCAGTTCCAGAAGACATGAGAGAAGAGAGTGAGATGGAGGTGTGCTACTGAAGCACTATATTCCGCTTGGAACCCAAGGGAAAGATAGTAATAGTAATTCACTTTTAATTACATGAACATAAGTTGGCTTTTAAACGTCGAGACTATTCGGCACCCATGTCAATACATGGAGAACTGTGGATACGTATTCGATTTTAAAAACGTAGGGATTTAGGATAGAGGATGCCCAAAGAATGCTAGAAATTTCTTAGAACCTTGGCATTCAGTTTAGTCAGTAATCAAAGTTAGTATAAACGTAGATCCAGTTTATTAACTAGTATGAAAGGTGGTAAACGAATTTAAGGTAAGATTCAGGCGAGAAACAGATAACGTGATAATTTATACAATCAATCATACAACAATCAAAGGAAACTGCTAATCGTAAACCGTCTAGTCAGGGAAGGTTACTGAATCACTCAGAGAGAAATTCTGATAGCTCATTGATGATTTTGTCTAAGATGAGAATGAAAGCTTCCCTATCTAGCCACCTGTCTCAGGGAATACGAAACAATGAAGATCTTTCACCTGACCTATAAATATTCTCCACCATTTCAAAATCATATGAACTTAAGAAGTTTAATTTGACATTGAAAACCTAGTCATAAGCAAGTTTTTCGATGTTTAAAGGAACCAGAAATCATCAGAAAGTTGTGTGTTTAGCATTCACTCTTATTTGCAACGGTTTATACATCCTGTTTGTTACTTTGTGGAACTTCAGTCAGTCAGTTAGTTAGTCAGTAGTCATTATTAGTTTGGAACTTATCATTCCCATCTTAAGCTTTCCTTAAACCGATATACACTTTACTTAACAAATGAGTATATAGTTTATATAATTCAGTACTGACGTATAAAATACATCGATAGCCAAATAAAACTGTCCGACATTACCTGATTCAAAGTGATAAATGAATGGTCATATGGACATATTTGAAGGAATGATAATCCATTTGTTGGAGAACAAACACTATGAGCCGGAAAATAAGTGTTTCTCATTTCTAAATTAAGAGAAGAAAGTGTATAAAGAGAATTCTCTTTTCTTCCTTTCGCCATTTTACACTAACCTTGTCTTGGAAGTACATTCTAAACAGAAGAGAAAAGATGGAATGGAATGAAACCTGTCAGTTGTTATGAACACAGGTTTATCAATCGCTTAATTCTACCTACTTGTTTTCTCACAGCATAACCAATATTCAGCTTTCTATCTTTAAACATTAATGATTCAGCCTATAAAAGTTAATCAGATAAAATACTTTCAATATTCAATCATTTACCTCACTTTTAATGATTGATTCAGCTGTTTCCTGATTTTCAAATGTGACAAAGCCATAAGTGCCTTTTGATTGTCGAGATTTATCATTAATTACTTTAACATCTTTAATAGTACCATAAGTTGAGAAAAATGTTCTTAACTCATCTTCAGTTGTCTATTATAACAAAATATTAGTAATAATAATGGTAATTATTTCGATATTTGTAGTAATTCAACCAATACTTACATTTGAATTAATCCCTCCAACAAATATACGATTTGGTATTAATGTACCTATTTTAGATGGTAGTATAGAAGCAGGTGAACTGGGATGAATTGCTGTTGTCAATGTAATCGGTGTAATGACTACTTGGGAAGTTGATGACGTTTTGTCATTTGAAATAGCTTTCATGACATGTACACTTTAAATTCTATGAATACTTGTAACAGAGAATTTCTTTATATAATAGATTTGACACAATTGTAAGCGTTTGATTAACATGCATTATAAAAAACAACTAGAATGTATTTTAAAAATTAAAGAATAAAGCGAGATTACTTACTAAATATCCTATGGAAACAGCATTAAGCAAACATCAACACTAAACCTGATTTAGTCCAAAAGGTTCAGTTAATTATACATTAGTGAATTATTCATACCTGTAATATAAATCAATATATTTATCAATTTAAATTGTCAGTATTTAGTTAATGGTAGCACATTGTGCTACATTACTTATGCTTTGTATAAAATAATATTATATTTCGTTTGTACAGATTTATCATTATTGTCATTACCAAACACAACATATCCCTTAGGTTTCTGTCAAAATACCAATCATAATTTGTAGATAGCTACTTTTTGAGTTGATTACGATGATTAGTGTATTTAATTTACATGTATGAAAGTGATTCCTGGTTAAATTCTTTGCGTTTTGAATCATTATGGCATAGACATGATATCGAAAGATTTCTGAATAAATTTATCGCATCTGGGTAATACAGTTTTGTAAGGCAGAAAAATGTTACAGGCAGATAATCAGAAACCCTTACTTTATGTGATCACGTTAATATCAGCAAACATTAAATGACTTTCTGGATATGATTTTACCTCTAGTTGACTTGAGGATGAAGTAAGTCAAAGGGTTGACAACATTACTTTTATGGACAAGTGAATTAGTCCTGATGCTCAAGCTAACAACAGAATATTATCAGAAAACATTTTAAAAAAACGATATTCATATAGCAATCAATTTTGACACTATAACTACGTTTCCTACAACTTATCCACTGCCCAGTGGACGAAATAAGGACTGTATGTTCTACACTACTGTTGTTGGGTAAAGCTACCAAACAATAATCAGATATAGAAATTGTGCTATATATTTAACAATGAACATCAAATTTTTAGGTTTCTACTTGGAAGAGATAGGTGAAAACTATTTTAAAATCAGTTTGGAATCGATTATCATAAGGTAATAGACAGACGTACAAACAGATGAAATCAACAAAGAACTTTACACATAGGTGAATCGGTCCACTTTGTCACACGTCACAGTGGTATACAAAGAGCGGATGGATAGCAAAACAGTGATGTCAAAGTCGTATGAGAAAAATAGCAATTTGAAGATGAAGGTTGGTACCAATAATCAAGATTTAGAAAACGTCAAAGAGTAAGTACATCTGCTTCACTGTGACTGATTATCAGCCAAATCACCAATAATTCTCAACCATTTATTCCTAGTATCTTGGGGACCCCAACCAGGTAGTCTTAATCTCTTCACATGGCTGAGACTAACATTCCGGTACTTCAATGACTGGTACCACGTTTTGTTTTATGCACCATGAACCCTCTTCTAACCTAATCCAACTTCTTTTGACATGACACGTTGAGGTAGAAGATGGCTCAGCATGCACATTATTTGTTCAAATCATCTCATACAACTAAGGTTCACAACTTCATCAATTGTCCTGCCCATCTTGCACGGTAGCCTTTACCTGACCTCAGTATTACTTATACAACGATTCCACCACACGAAAAGCAATGATAGAAAGACACCTGTACTCGTAAACTTATACTTTCTTGATATCTTTTACTTCAAACGGTCACGCACAACAGCCATTTGATAAAATGCAGCAAACTGCAGTGCGCTGTACTCTTCCTTTAACTAACAGACAGCTAGATGTCACACCAGTTGGCTCTAGAGATGACACATTTTGGAGTGGCAAACGAGTCTTCTGTATCTAGGCTTCATAAGGTTGCTGTTTATTTGATTATTCCTATTGATTTCATCTTCCCCATATCTTCCTAATTTATTGCAAAATATGTCATTGTTATCACTTAGCTATCATTATCTACTCTTCTAACTCAAGAACTTAAAAATTTTGAATTACAGACGATGTTATACACTGTTCTGTACTTCTGTGTTTCCCAACATTACAGTCTCTAATATCTGTTTTGACTGTATCAACTAGTGTAGTACCGGAAGTTCCTTTGACTGTTTACAGGCACTGTGGAACGTGTCCTTCAGCTTGGTATGGTGTTAAGGGTTTCAGTTACTTGTTTCAAGTAATAACGGTTATCCACTTTACATGAAACAAATCACTTACTTTTCCAGCAGCTTTTAATTCCTTTGATGTAGAGATATTCGTAATATCCCACCTACCTACCTTATTTATGACATTGTGATTAAGTATAATGCTGAGTATGCACACTAGTCACAGTCATTATTAGATCCATTCTTGAAAAGAAAAATAATAAATAAAGGTATTTAATAAATTCTAGCTTATCAAAATGAACGTCAATGAAGATCTTGCTTTAGGTTTGCTTATTGTAAACTTCGTTTTCAGGTTTCTGAGTTTCCGCAAGAAAGATTGTTCATAGAGTTAAAAGAAAACAGGCATAGTTCTCAGGGAGATGTAATAATATGTGTAAATGAGTGTATATTTCATCCGTAACAAAATTTAAAGTGAAGGCCTGACCCAGGTATTTTGGTTTATGGAAGGGAGTTCCTCGCTGTATTCGTCATTGAATCAGAGTCGGCAGATCCTAAGCAAAAACTGGCCCATTCTTTACTGTCTAGTGAGCTGGAAATTAGTGAAAAGGAGTGGAAGGCACATGGTACGACTGATGATCACCGATGCTCATTATGAGATCCGAAAATATCAACAGGTGATAGAAAGGGAAAAGAGAAGCCTCAAGGGGATACAATAGAACACTTTACAGCGTTGGCAACTGCCTTCAAAAAATCAAGCAGGTGACCACTCAGAACAGGGAAGAAACATCTTTTGAGAGAAGCTTGACAAAATTTCGAAACCGTGAGCACCAGAAGGGGAAGGAACAAAGGATTGTGTAGTCAACTTGTTCAAACAATCCGTGACCAAAGCCGAGGGACTTCTTCTTTAGACAGGATTAAGTTACAATACCAGAGACACTTCAGGACCAGAAGTCTGTGCATCCCTAGAGTTATCACTGAAGACTTCAGAACCAGTCTCTGAGGTCTAACAGGAAATACAACGACCAGTAGGAAATAAAACCGTATTAAATTAACTAGTGAAGAACTAAGAGCTCTAAAGAGACTAAAAAATAAAGAATAATTCCAGCTGACGAGGGGAGCACTACAGTAGTCCTGGATAACGACGACAACATCAAAAAGACAGAAGATTTTTTCATGGACCAAAATGTATATCAACCAGTGGAGACGAATCCCATTCAAATATTCGCTGACGGAATCACTAAGACCCTGAACAAACTTGCCAAGGCGGAACAAATTACAAAAGAAGAACAATGGCAAATGAAATACAGTGAATCTGCTCTCCCACGTTTCTATGGTAGATCAAAAATACACAAACCAAACGTCCTACGGCGACCAATTGTTTCATCTCCAGGAACCCCAACATACAATCTTTCAAAAGAACTCTTCAGAAAACTAATACATCTGGTGGAGTCATGCGACCACTCTATCAGCTCTGTGATACACTTTTTGAAATAGGTCAAGCATATTCACATTGACAACGACGAACTTATAGTATCTTTTGACGTTACAGCTCTATACACCCCAAATGAACGGAAACTAGCTAAGAATACAATGATTCTTCTCTTCAACAATGATGTACACCTCTCGGAACTCACCCAACAACAATGTTCAAGTGTGATGGAAATTGATTTATGCCCTACAACATATAATCAGTTCAGCGGCAAACTCTATACACAGACAAAAAAGTCTTTTCAAAGGTTTTGCTGATGGTGTTGTCTAGAATGTCAACGACAGCTTCACGATTAAACAATCCAGTCCAGAGAACTTAACCTCATCAAAATTATCCTCCTGAGCTACAAATATTCCAGTCATCTCACAATCATCTAGTTATCACTGATTTATCATGGTCCCTAGATGGAGGGAATGCCTGATAAAACAGCCTTTAAAATAATGACATTTTATACCCTGTAAACCACGCTGTGTTGATTATACTCCTATTAACCAGTTTATTATTTTGTATTTTTTTATCTCACTATTACATTACGATTTAGAAAAAATTAGATAAAATTCCAAATTTTATTTACATTGCATTACTTTTTAATTAGCAAAGATGACAACATATGTGATATCTTGAAGTAAGGTAACTCAACAGTTGATTAGTGGGTCAGCTGTCATGTATTTTACGTGAATTTATTCTCAAATAGTGATTAATCGAATACATATTAGTTGATCTACCAAAGATAAATTCTGTTAATTTGGAAAAGACCAATTCATAAATAGATGATTACTATTATTTATTGTAACTCAAGAATTCATGATCTGATGATGGTCTTTATGAATATTAAGAGCATTTTAGAAATCGGGGGATATTGGTCAATTAAACGCTCCATAGCAATTTTTAATGATTTGAACGGTATTTGCTAACTGATGTAACACAAAAAGTAACACATTCCACATCACAGACCAAACATAAATTTAGATTTAAACAAATGAAACTGTAAATATCAGCCACTAGAAAAAGATAATAGAGAGAGTTTCTATTTGTTAGGAGTGAAGTTGTATACTGTTTTCGAAAATCAAATAGAAGAAAGAAGACAAGGAATGGATCTCGACGAATACCTGGAAGCTGATAGAGGAGAGGAGGATGGTGAAGCAGAAGATAAACCAGTGCAAGGATGCTCAACGACAAGAGGAACTGAGCACAATGTATAAAACACTGAACAAAGAAGTGAAGAAGAGTGCACGCAAAGACAAAAGACACTTCTACGAAACACTGGCAAGTGAAGCAGAACAGGCTGCAGGTAGGGGAGACAGAGACCTGACGACATTGTATCAAATAACTAGGTTACTACCTGGAAAGAGATCAACACAGATGAAACCAATAAAAGATGATGAAGGAAATTTAATTACGGAAGAAGAGAAACAGAGGAAACGATGGGCCGACCACTTCAAGAAGCTCTTGAATCGACCACCACCTGCAGCCCAGCCACAGAACTACAAGTGAACATAAATCCTCCAATGAAAATGGAAGTCCTGAACTCCATAAAGCTGCTGAAATGTGGGAAAGCAGCAGGACCAGACGGGATCCCACCAGAAGCACTTAGAACAAACGCAGAGACAACAGCAGACATGCTCACACCACACCACTATTGCAGAAGGTGTGGAAGGAA